TGTGTGTGTGTGTGTGTGTGTGTGTGTGTGTGTGTGTGTGTGTGTGTCTGCATGTAGATTTATACACACACGTATATACATCTATATTTATTTCTATATGTTGAAAACTTTGGGTCCATACTGATATGTCCAATTTCAAACTCTGCTTGTTAATTCTAGTTTTCTCCCTTCTTCAAAAACCTAGCTTCCATTATCTTTCATATACTTACTTATTTTATCAGTTCCCCACTCTATAACCAATCTGTCATTGTTGCTGCTGTTGCCTCTACCTTCATGCAGATACTTCCTCATTCCACTCAGGTTCTAACATCTTGCAGACTTCTACTTCACTCCACCTGAGTTCTGACACTTTCCCCATGTCACCCTTTTGCATGATGTCTTTCTCACCCTGCTCAATTTTGACACCTGTGCCAGGCCACCCTCCTACCCAGAAGTCTTCTTCACCCAGTTTGGACTCTGATCCCACCCCTTCCTGTGGACATCCTGCTCAAGCTTTGAGAACCTGTGCTAGGTGGCTCACATTCATGGAACCCCTGTTTATCCTACTTGAGTTCTAACTCTATATGTCGCACTGTACCCTGAGCTCCCACAGCATGTACTCCCTCCTCAACCTACTTGGACTCTGACTCCCATGCTCAGTCAGTCTCTGCAGTGGGTTCTAACACCCCATGCTTAGCCATTATTCTGCTTAGCCATCTAGTTGTTCATCGTGCTTTGCAGCATCTGATGGCTTTAGCACTAAATTTTTGTGAATCGAAGAGCAAAAGTAAGAGGAAGGGGGCTTTTTATTTGTTAAACAAAAATAACATTTATTACAATTTGTAATGATAGATTTGTGTGATCATTTGATTGTCTTCTCTAACCTTCCTGAAGGTAGGGACTGTTTCATGGATACAAAAGAGTTTCCCAAGGATATAGCATAAAGTATATGCTCAGTAAGTTTTTATTGAATGAATAAATATCTAAAGGAATTAAATACTTTAATAAGATCACACAGCTATTATGAGTTTATGTGTTGAAGACATAATTTTTTTTTTTTTTTGCGGTACGCGGGCCTCTCACTGTTGCGGCCTCTCCCGTTGCGGAGCACAGGCTCCGGACGTGCAGGCTCAGCGGCCATGGCTCACGGGCCTAGCCGCTCCGCGGCATGTGGGATCTTCCCGGACCAGGGCACGAACCCATGTCCCTTGCATCGGCAGGTGGACTCTCAACCACTGCGCCACCAGGGAAGCCCTGAAGACATAATTTGAACACAGTTCTCTGATTCTGAAGTCACCCTGACTGCCTTTACATTAGATACTTTTCCTATATAATAGGATATAGAGAACGTAGATTAGTTAGGGAGTTACTCATGTGCACAGTTTACCTCAATTAATACAAGAGTTCATCATGAATGCAATATAAAGGTTAAAGTTTTCACATCGTTTAAAAATAGTGTGTTTTACTTGAATAGCACTTTATATTCATTAAGTTATAAAATGTTGGTACTGAAAAGGGCTCCAGAGATAATCTAGTTCAGTACAACTAAGCAGTATAACATACACATGTCACCAAGATCCTAGCATTCAGGGAGGGATGGGAGTGGGCAAGGCAGGAGAATGTGTAAGTAATGTGAGTCAGCCCTCCAGGTGATTCTGACTACATCTTTCTTTTGTCTTCTCTCAAACTATTCCTCAATCTATGATTTTTACCTGATCCATATAGCAACCCTTAGAGAATTATAGGGCAAGGAAAATTCAACATATGGGGAACCTGAGAGGGTCAGAGTGACTTCTCAAGGCTTCTTCTTCATTTTTATTATTCTCCAGAAACATTTTACATAAAAATGTGATATTATTTAAATTTTTTTCTGTAATACAATGTAAATGTCATAGTGGGGCTGTGGTGGAGGAAGGAGTGAAATAGCCTGTTTGATAATTGGAACTTGGTAATTAGGCCATCAAATTATCAGTTTCTTTTCATTGTTTTATCAGTGCTCAAAAAGTTGATACGGAGAGTTATATTCTATCTAGGTTCTTTCTGTGAGGAGTATTAATTTACTTACAGATAATAGTCCTATTGTGTTGTTGATGAATTATAAGATTACTGATGAAAAATCTTGGAGAGGGAAGAATTTCTGTCAGACTCACACATCTTTACTGAAAATTGTTGGTATTTGCTACCTACGCATGGTTGCTAATATTAGTATTGCATTGAAAAGAAGTGTCTTAAAACCTTGTATCATGAGAATTTTTTTGCTGTGGATATATTGAGTAGTATGCCCACTTGTAACTTTTCACATGATTATGTAATGACCCAGTTCTCAAGAAATGATTTTATTTATAGATAATTGGAAATGAGACATAGAAAAGCTGTTGTACTTTGCCATGCTGAATAATTCAAAAGGTGAATGTTTCAGTGTGAATTATTTTGTCTAATGCTATGTTTAAATTGACTCATTAGAACCTGAAAAATAATATTCGAAAAACTGTACTACAAATAAGATTCAAAACCTAGTTTGCTTTGTCCTTTTTTTTTTAAAAAACATCTTTATTGGAGTATAATTGCTTTACATTGTTGTTAGTTGCTGCTGTGTAACAAGGTGAATCAGCTATACGTATACATATATCCCCATATCCCCTCCCTCTTGCGTCTCCCTCCCACCCTCCCTGTCCGACCCGTGTTCTTTTATTCACATTGAGAACCTATGTTTTTTAAGAGAAAAACCTATTGAGAAACATGTGTGAGAACATCCCGCCTGATACTTTGTTTCTTTTGTTTTGACTCTTCACCAAGGGAAAATCAGTTAGTTTCTTGAGTGTTAGAGCAATGATGCTTCCCTTGCAAAGTTTGAGGACTAGGTATAAAATATGTAAAATACCATAGACATTATATCTGACACTAGGTGCTTAATAATCATTATTTTTGTTGATTTATCTAGTTTTAAGCTATTACTTCCTACAATAACCAGAAGTAGCTTTAGTTATGTTTTACTATTAAATGTTCTAATCCTTACTCTTCTATAGGTGTATCTACATCAGCAATCAAAATGGCATCAACCAGACTTCCTTCTCCCAAAAGCTTAGTGGGTGCCCCAACTCAGATTCTTGCACAGTTTCCTAAACAGCATCAACAGTCTCCTAAGCAGCAGTTACATCAAGTACAGCAACAGACACAGCAACAGGTGGCCCAGCCTTCTCCGGTATCTCATCAGCAACAGCCTCAGCAGTCTCCTTTGCCACCTGGTATCAAGCCTACCATTCAAATCAAACAGGAGTCAGGTAAATGGAAAATGTTTCAGGAGATGGTAATTCTTCCCCAGTCACCAGTTCTCTGAAGATTGCAATATATATGGATTCACTTCCACATACAGTTTCCTCAAGCATTAGAGTTTTAATTCCAGAATATATTTTGAGACCCTCCTGTTGGAAATACTTACATAGAGAGAACTGGTGCTTGGGAATAGAGAAGGGAGAAAAAAGCTGTTTGCACAGCAGGAAGAGGTTTTTTTCAGTGAACTCTCAGAAGAGATAAAGGAAGCCGAGGAAACAAACCCAGACTTTAGAACTATACTTTGGAGCCCACTGGGGTTATGGGAAGTGAGCAGTGGAAAAATTAGTCTGGGGAGTCTTGTGTTAGAGGCCGTATTGTGAATCTGGCGTAAATTTCTCATGGGCAGAGGTGCTAAGATTAAAAGACATTGTGTACAGTGAAGAAGTTTGTGGTATAACAATTTAGCAGTTTATTGAAAGCATCTCTAGCACAGTGGGAACGCAGGGGTAGGAGGCAATTACTGTTAAGTTATCGAATCATAAAAGTATTGAATAGAAAGGCAGGTAGGATGGAGGCTTAGATACAGGGAGACGAAGAAGCATCTTAACGTACTTAATATCTTTAAGAAAAGAAAATGGATTTTTTTCCTCCACTGAAGCTGGATTTTATTTGGTGGTAGAAAAGGACTTTGGGAGATGCTGACATTTTCAGTTTTTTGTTTGTTTTATCTTATTTTATTTTATTTATTTATTTATGGCTGCGTTGGATCTTTGTTGCTGTGCGCAGGCTTTCTCTAGTTGCGTCGAGTGGGGTCTGCTCTTTGTTGTGGTGTGTGGGCTTCTCATTGCGGTGGCTGCTTTTTGTTGTGGAGCATGGGCTCTAGGTGCACGGGCTTCAGTAGTTGTGGCATGTGGGCTCAGTAGTTGTGGCACACAGGCTTAGTTGCTCCACAGAATGTGGGAGCTTCCTGGACCAGGGATCGAACCCATGTCCCCTGCGTTGGTAGGTGGATTCTTAACCACTGCACCACTAAGGAAGTCCCTTGTTTTATTTTTTGATAGGAACATTTTATTATTATTTTTTGAGATGTAATTGACACATAACTTTGTATTAGTTTTAGGTGTAACATAATGATTTGATATATGTATCTATTGCAAAATGACTATCACAATAGGTTAGCATCTATTACCACACATAGTTACAATTTTTTTTCTTGTGATGAGAACTTTTAAGATTTACTCTCTTTGCAACTTTCAAATATACAATGCAGTATTGTTAACTATAGTCATCATGCTGTACATTATTATATCCCCAGCACTTATTTATCTCATAACTGGAAGTTTGTACCATTTCACCTCTGCCTCATACCTAGTATGAGGTATGGATAGTAATGCATTGATAGACATAGGGAAATTGGTCTGTAGTTTTCTCTTTGCCTGCAGTCTCTGTCAGGCTTTAGTTTCAATGATATGTGTGCTTCCAAGAAAGAATTGTAAAGTTTTCCTTTTTAAAACGCTCTGGAACTTTTTCTATTAAAGGACAGCTTTATTGAGATATAATTCACATACCATTCAATTAACTGATTTAAAGTGTACAGTTCAGTGGTAGGTAGTATATTCACAGATATGTGCAACCATCACTACCGTTGATTTTAGAACATTTTCATCAGTTCCAAAAGAAACCCTGTACCATTTAGCTATCACTCCCTACTCACCGTGACAACCTCTCCAGCCCTAAGCAACCACTAATCTACTTTCTGTCTATAGATTTCTATATTCTGGATTTTTATGTGAATGGAATCATATAATATGTGATCTTTTGTGACTGGCTTCTTTTACTTAACAATGTTTAAGGTTCATCCATGAAGTAGCATGTATTAGTACTTCATTCCTCCTTATGGCCAAATAATAATTCACATTTTGTTTATCCACTTGTCCATTGATAACACTTGCTAGTCTGTGACTTTTTGGTTCTAGCCATCCCAGTTTGTGTGAAGTGGTATTTCATTGTGGTTTTGATTTGCATTTCTCTGATGACTAATGGTGTTGACCATCTTTTCATAATGCTTATTGGCCCTTTATATACCTTCCTTGGAGAAATACCTATTTATATCCTTTGCCACTTTTTAATTGAGTTATTTGTCTTTTTATCATTGAATTGTATGAGTTTTTTTTTTTTTACTATACATATTTTAGATATTAAACCTTTATCAGGTACATGAATTACAAATATTTCCTCCCATTCTGTGGGTTGTCTTTTCACTTTCTTGATGATGTCCTTTGAAACACAAACATATTTAATTTTGGTAATGTACAGTTTATTTTTTCTTTTGTTGCTTGTGCTTTTGGTATTGTATTTAAGAATCTTTTGCCAAATCCCAGGTTATAAAGATTTATCCTTATTTTTTCCCCTAAGAGATTGATAATTTTGCCTCTTAAATTTAGGTCTTTGATCTATTTTGATTAATTTTGTTAAGGTGTGAAATAAGGATCCCACTTCATTCTTTCATGCGTGGCTCTTCGATTGTCCCAATACCATTTGTTAAAAAGACTGTCTTCCCCCCCATTGAATGGTCTCAACACCCTTGTTGAAAATCCACTGAGCACATGTATGACTTTATTTCTGGATTCTCAATTCTGTTCCATTATATGTCTATTTGTATGCTGATTTGATTACATTGATTTACATTGTTTTGATGAGGAAGTGTGAGTATTCCTGTTTTGTTCTTTTTTAAAAGATAGTTTTGGCTATTCTGGGTCCCTTGCAATTCTGTATGAATTTTGGAATCAGCTTGTCAATTTCTACAAAGAAATCAGCCGAGAATCTCATGGGGTTTGCATTGAACCTGTAGATCAATTGAAGAGTATTACCATCTTTATAATGTTAAATCTTCTGATCCATGAACATGGGATGTTTTTGTGTTTATTTAGATCTTTAATTTCTTTCAACGTGTTGAAATGTGTGGTTCTTAGTGTATAAATTTTACACTTCTTTTGTTAATTTATTTCTAAGTATTTTATTTTTGTAGCTGTTGTAAGTGGAACTGTTAACTTCATCTTTTGGATTACTCATTGCTAATGTATAGAGATGCACGTGATTTTTTGTTGATTTTGTACCTGCAACTTAGCTGAACTCACTTTTTAGTTCTAGTAGTTTATAGTGAATTCCTTAGGATTTTCTATATAAAAGATCAAATCATCTGCAAAGAGATAATTTCTGTTACAGTCTGGATGCCTTGTATTTCTTTTTCTTGCCTAATTTCCCTAACTAGAACCTCTGGTAAAATGTTGAATATAGCTGGCAAGAGTGGATATCATTGTTTTGTTTCTTGTTCCTTCTATTCATAGAACTTCCTTGAGTGTCTGTTGTAAGGTGGTCTGCTAGCAACAAACTCTCTCCGTTTTTGTTTATCTGGTAAAGACTGTTTCATCTGCATTTTTTGAAAGATAGCTTTGCTGGATATCAAATTCTTGGTTGACAGGTTTTCTTTGAGCACTTTGAATACGTTATTCTGCTGCCTACTGGTCTCCATTGTTTCCACTGAAAAGTCAGTTGCTAACCTTAATGAAATCCCATTGTAAATGGAAATTGTTGTTCTCTTGATGGTCTCAGGATTTTCTCCTTGTCTTTGACTTTCAGCATTTTTAGTGTGATGTGCCTGTTTGTGGTTCTCTTTATATTTATCTTCTTCAGTGTTTGTCTAGCTTCCTGGATGTGTAAGTTATTGCTTTTCAATAAATATGGAACATTTTCAGCCATTACTTCTTTGAATACTTCTTTTTCTCTTTTCTCTCTATTCCTTCCTTTTTGTAGTTACATTGCATATGTTGTGCACTTAATGGTGTTCCACATTTCTGTTCATTTTCTTCATTCTTTTTTCTTTCCATTCTTCAGCTTGCATAATCTCTAATTGATCTGTCTTTAAATTTGCTAATTCTTTCTTCTGCCAGTTCAAATCTATTCTTGAGCCCTTCTAGTGAATTTTTTATTTCAGTTATTGTACTTTTCAACTCTGCATTTTCCATTTGGTTCTTCTAATTTCTATTGCTTAATTAATATTCTCTATTTGATGCAACTTTGTCATCATACCCTCTTTTACTTTTGTAATCATGCTTCCCTCTACTTCTGTGAACGTATGTGTAATGGCTATTTTGAAGTGTTTTTGTTGTTGTTAAGTCTGACATCTGGTTGCTCTCACAGTTTCTGTTGCCTGCTCTTTTTCCACTGTGTGGGTCATACTTTCATGTTTCTTTGCAAGTTTTTGTTGGAAACTGGACATTTTAGATATTTACATTGATATTTTAGATATTAGATATATAGATATTAGACATTATATATTGTAGCTGGGTACTGATCTTCCCCTACCCCCACCCCTGATTTATTATTGTTATTGGCATGGTTCTTTGTTGTTTAGTGACTAGATCAATTATGTTGCTGAAGTTAAGTCTCTGCTGTTGTTCCTCAGGGAGGTACAGCTCTGGGTATGCCCAGTCATTCTGAGGTGACAGTGATATTGGTATGGCTTTTTCCTCTTTTCCTGACCACACCCAGCTGTTAAACTCCACTAACTGATTGCTCTATTTTTTTCAACAATTCCTGGAGCATAAGTTGCTCTGTGAACTCATCCAGATTGTGGCTTCTTTGAAGGAATAATCTCAAAGGTCCATTTTTGATATTTGTTCTGACCATAGGAGCGTTCCTCTCAGCTTCCTTACTATTCAGTTCTGTCCTGCAAACTGGCCTATAGTCTAAAAGGTATCTTAATTAAATCCATGATTCTCCTTCTAGTTGCCTTTCATTCACATCCTCCACTGTTTTTGAGAGCACCCTTAGGCTTGAACTTCTTCATGCTCTGTTACATATGAAGTCAGTTCCTCTGGGAAGAGGCTAGGAGCTATATGTTTTAGGACATGTTTCTATCCTCAGGCAGCTCTGGAGCTCTGGGGGTAGGGTCAATGGCAGACTTCTCTCTGAATGATACCCCTGCTCTAGGAGCTGAGCACTCAGTGAAGGCAAGTGTGGGAGGTTGGGCAAGCAGCCTGAGATCCTCTCAGCTTGCTTCCCCTGGTTGGTGGAGCCACTCCCTCACAAGCCAGGGCAGTGGTGGTCAGGACCCCAGTATTCTCAGTGGCTCTGTGCCCAAGATAGAGCCTTTGTTCCATGAACTGGGGGCTGGGCAGAAGCAGGGAGTACCCACCTATTGACTGCAGTTGCCTGGGACTTAAAACAGGTGCCTGGGAGCAGAAAGAGATAAGCTGAAGTCCTTCTGCTCCTCAGAAGAAAGCCCGCCAACTGGGAGCTGGGGTAGGAGGAAACCCTGTGTTCTTGACTGCAGCAGTCTGGAGAGCAGTCCTTGCTTCACCTATAGGGAGGGAGGAGGAACAGGTGTTAGTTTAAATGTCATAGATTTCACTGTTCTTAGCAAATATTTCTGTGTTTTCTTTTAAAAAATTTTTTATTTATTTATTTATTTATGTTTGGCTGTGTTGGGTCTTCATATCTGTGCGTGGGCTTTCTCTAGTTGCAGCGAGCGGGGGCCACTCTTCATTGTGGTATGCAGGCCTCTCACTGTCACGGCCTATCTTGTTGCGGAGCACAAGCTCCAGACGCGCAGGCTCAGTAGTTGTGGCTCACGGGCCTAGTTGCTCCACGGCATGTGGGATCCTCCCAGACCAGGGCTCAAACCCACGTCCCCCGCATCGGCAGGCAGACCCTCAACCACTGCGCCACCAGGGAAGCCCTTTGTGTATTCTTGAATAGATGTTTCTTCATTTGGTCTTAGGACCGTTTCCAGAGCTTTTCATTGGTTGTTTTTTTAAATCATTTTTGCCAGTTTCATTGGGTTAGCAGGTTAGCAGAGCTCCTTATGCTCTCTTGTCAGAAATCACTCTCTGGAATGGTTTTTGTTGTTGGTTTATTTTAAGTGGAGATATAATTCACATATAACATTGTATTAGTTTGAGGTGTACAGCATAATCATTTGATATATGCGTATATTATGAAATGATTACCCCAATAAGTTTAATTAATATCCATCACCACATAGTTACATATTTTTTTTCTTGTGATGAGAGGAATGGTTTTAAATACATTGGAGTTATTTTCTTTTTAAAGGACCATAGAATTGTCCTGTGAAACTATCTGGGCCTGCTATGTTGTGGGGAAAGGGGGAGGAGCTCTTAAAATTTTGTTTCAAGGAAACTTGTCTATTTATATATCTTTTTTGAGGTCAATTTTTGATAAATACTGTTTTTCTAGAAAATTATCCATTTGATCCAAATTTTCAACTTGTTTGTGTAGGACTAAGCAAAGTAGTGTCTTATGATTTCCTTAATTTTTATCTCTGTGGTTATTTCTTTGGGGGTTTCTTTTTATGTACCTTAAGCATTATTGTAATTCATTAATAAGATAATATTAAAAATCATTTTTTCCCTACAACTTCACAGTTTATGATTTATTGTAATCAGAATTTATTTATACAATAATAATACTTTATTTATTGAACTCTTGCTATGTATTAGGCACTTCACAACTGTGATGTAATTAATCTTCACATAGCCCTAGAAGGTATATACTAATAGTATCTTTATTTTATAAATGAGAAAACTGAGTCATAGAGATTATTAAGTAATTTGCCTAATTATGCCTGGATGTCATAATTTTAACTTCTTTGTTGGCTACAAGTATTTTGAAATTATTTAAGGCTATTAAATAAATAAATTTGTTTGCTTCCTAATGTCTTAACCTAAATCACCATCCAAAAAAGTAATAAAAATTTTAGTTGTCTGTTGAAATGTATTCTATCCCATGAATTATTTCAGTGAAGTTTAGTGGGGAAAAAGTGTTACCAAAAATTTCCTTCCTTGATTAACAATTATTAGTACTTAAATTTGTAGTTAACATGAGAGATTTCTTTTAAATGGACATCTTACATTTGAAAAGGCAGTGTAACACTTATAACATTTAAATTAAAAAGTTGAAAAATGTAAAAACTACCATAACATCACCACCCTAACATTTTAATTTTATTTTTATATACTGCCTTCAAGTTCTTGTCCACATGCATATTTTATGTAGGTGCAATAATAGTGCGTTCTTTACTTTTGACAAAGTGAGCTATTTAAATACTTTTAAAAGAAGTCAATTTAAAAATAAATGTTCAAAAACAAAATGTTCTTGCTCTTTACAGTCTTAAGAGGTTAGAGAAATCTTTGGTAGAGTTGAGAATATATAAAAGCTACATTAAATTTTTTTATTGGAGTATAATTGCTTCATAATATTGTGTTAGTTTCTGCTATACAACGAAGTGAATCAGCTATATGTATACATATATCCCCTCCCTTTTGGACCTTCTTCCCCCCCCCCCCCCCCCCCCCCCCAACCCCCCCCCCCAGGTCCTCACAGAGCACCCAGCTGAGCTCCCTGTGCTATACAGCAGGTTCCCACCGGCTATCTGTTTTACACATGGTAGTGTATATATGTCAATCCTAATCTCCCAATTCATCCCACCCTCCCCTTCCCACCCTGTGTCCACACGTCCGTTCTCTATGTCTGCATCAGTATTCCTGCCCTGCTTTTATTTTTGACTTCTTATCCTAGTCCTTTCATCCCAAGTATTTGCATGGAACACAGATTGTTTGTAAAAGTTCAGATCAATGGCTAATTTGGTTTGAAAGCTCTTATATGATGTGATCATAGACAAAAGAAAAATTGTTTTTCATTAAAACTTGTTAATAGCTTTTGTGGTATTTTAATTATATTTCTGAATGAGAGAAATTTGGGAAGATAGGAATTTGAGGAATAAAAGTTAAAAGAATATCTTTCATCAGTATGAACAAAAGCCTCTTTTTAGGCAAGACTCAGTAAATGTGTGTAACTGCTGCCCTCTTGGGTTGATACAAAGCACATGTTATTAAAAATAATTTGTACTGAGATTTATCTTTCTTCTTTCAAAGGTGTTAAAATCATCACACAACAAGTTCAACCAAGTAAAATCTTACCCAAACCAGTGACAGCAACTCTGCCCACCAGTAGCAATTCCCCTATTATGGTGGTTAGCAGTAATGGTGCAATTATGACAACTAAACTTGTAACCACTCCTACTGGTAAGTTTTCTTGAGCGTCAGTCCATTCATTCATCATACTTATTGAGTAATTTCTCTGTACTAGCAATACACTTGACATTGGGAATATAGAAATTAATGAGACAGTTCTTCAAAGAGGTCTTTCTTGACTCTTTCCTCCTCCCAACTGAAATTAGCTCTCTGCTATTGTCATGGTCCTCTTCTTTTCCTTTATAACACATACTATAATTTCTAATTACTTAGCTACTTTTTGTCGATTTGTTTAATGTTATTCACCTTATTAGACCATGAGCTCCATGAGGATAAGGGACCTTGTCTGTTTTATTCACCATATATATGTAGAGCTAGTCGGTAAGTAGGTGTTTAGTCAGGATTTGTTGAGTGAATGAAAACACAGTCCCCGCCTGCAAGGATCTCACACTGATGAGGTTGAGAATCTATATAACATTACAGTGTAGTAAGCATTACTCAGACTGAGAAAAGCATAGGATGCCATTTTATCCAGTTATGAGAGCATCCAGGCTATGCCCAAGGAAGTGACAGTATAGAACATTTTAAATAGTACCACCTTTTGTGACCTTGAGCAGTTTACTTTAATTCCTCTCAGTCTTTTCCATTGTCTATTTCAATGTGATCATAAAGTTATTGTAAGTGTTAAATCAGGTATGGAAAGTCCCCAGCAGAGTGCTCAATAGCCATTACGATTAATTAATGTTAGAATTAGCCAGTACCATTATTTTAAATTTGTATAACTCTTACCAGACTTTTTGAAGAGGGCCAGATTTAGATAATAGAATCTAGAGTGTAAAATGATTCCTTTCTCAAGTTTATAAGCTATCATCTATTGGCCATTATATAAAAGTATGTATAAGCATTACCCTTAATCTCCCTTAGGCTTTATTATCTTCATTCTCAGAGACAAAACAGAGGCTTATGTTAAGCAATATGCACAAGGCCACACAGCCAATAAAAGACAAGACTGGGATTTGAATCCAGATCTGTTTGACTCCCAAAACTGCTTTAAAAAAAAAAAAACTGTGGTAAAATGTAGATAACATGAAATTTACCATTTTCACCATTTTTAAGTGTACAGTTCATTGGCATTAAGTACATTCACATTGTTTTACAACCATTACAACCGTCTAGCTCCAGAAACCTTTTTTTTTTTTTTTTTTTTTGCGGCACGTGGGCCTCTCATTGTTGTGGCCTCTCCCGTTGTGGAGCACAGGCTCTGGACGCGCAGGCTCAGCGGCCATGGCTCACGGGCCTAGCCACTCTGCGGCATGTGGGATCTTCCTGGACCAGGGCACTAACCCGTGTCCCCTGCATCGGCAGGCGGACTCTGAACCACTGCGCCACCAGGAAAGCCCGCTCCAGAACTTTTTGCATCTTCCCAAACTGAAACTCTGTGCCCATTAAACAATAACTCTGCATTCCCACCTTTCCCCAGTCCCTGGTAACTGCCATTCTAACTTTGTCTCTTTGCAAAGCCTATGCTTTAAAAACACTGTTATTCTTGCATTAAATCTATCATTCTTCACCCAAAACTTTTCTCCATTTAGTACAAAGATAGTAGTGTTATGTAGATATGATTCCTCATGTTAGGGAAAGGTAGTGAAAAATAATATTGTGTCTTTGCTTATGTATATATATTAGAATAAGTGTTTCTAATTTTAAAACAAAAGCTTAAGTTGAAATATTTTCCAGCTATAATTAACTAATTCTAACTATGTATCTTCATAGCATAATTATTTTGCACTAGATTTTTTTTCTGATTTAGATGTATGTTTGTAATCAATTTAAAGTAATTCTACTTAATGTTCTTCCACTTCTCCCTTTTTTGGGTAGTGATTATATTTTAAAACGGTAAATACTAACTGAGTAAAACCATTTTTGGGAGGGGGTTGTTGAAATAGTTATCACAGTGACCCCTGAATCTAATTATCATGAAAAAATTTTTTTCAGTTGAAGAATGTTTATCTGAGTTACCTTCATTCTCCCCAAAACTAACGGCTCTTAGGAACAGTGTTAGGAATTTAGGAACAGTGCTTAGGAATAGTGTTTCTGAGTTACCAGATTGTGACAAACTACAACAGGCTTATCTGGTTAATTTTTAATTCCTGTTTGGGGAAAGGAAAAAGTTCTAGAAATAGTGGGGAAGAATGTAAAGTCCTTTGAGAGATATGAAGAAAAATATTCTAATGGGTCAGTTAAGAGGAAATATGTAAATAGTGAACTTTTTAGGCTAAGAAGAAATATTCCTGGTAACTCTTGTCAGCTTCAATTTTAATCTCTAGTAAAATGATGGAATATCTCTTTAAAAGATTGAAATATATTTAGAGGGTAGCAGAGTACAAAACAGTAAAAATTTATAAAATTTTTTTTTTTTTTTTTGCGGTACGCGGGCCTCTCACTGCCGGGGCCCCTCCCGCCGCGGAGCACAGGCCCCGGACGCGTAGGCCCAGCGGCCACGGCTCACGGGCCCAGCCGCTCCGCGGCATGCGGGATCCTCCCGGACCGGGGCACGAACCCGCGTCCCCTGCATCGGCAGGCGGACCCCCAACCACTGTGCCACCAGGGAAGCCCTAAAAATTTATAAAATTTTAGTCAAACAATATACTGCCTTATTTGCTGAGTGCTGCCGTTTGGGTTTGGCACTGAGACGGCATAAAACAGATGCAGAGACCTTGAAATCTATAACAGAAATACCTAAAATGCTCTGGCAGGAAAGATGATTAAATTTAAGTTTCTTTTGGCATCAAACTAGTGGAAGAAGGGTAATGGAAGAAGGGAACAGACTTGGTTATACTTTTTCTTGGGGTTAGTAATTTGATGCAACACATTACAAAATTTTACATGTAAAATTAATTCAAATTGAGTTGGCTATAGTTCTTGCTATGTGCATTGAAAACTGGCTATAAATTGTTACTTAATGGCTTGACACCTTGAAATTCCATTTTCAAGTTAAAGCAATGTAGATTATGTTGAATTATAGTTAAACTGTATAAATCGTCATTCTTCTAAAAGTTATGACAAGTTTTTCTCTTGGCTTTTCCCTTTTATAGGCACACAGGCAACCTATACTCGGCCAACAGTGAGCCCATCTATAGGTCGGATGGCTGCAACCCCTGGAGCTGCAACCTACGTGAAAACTACCAGTGGTAGCATTATTACAGTAGTACCCAAATCATTAGCTACCTTGGGGGGCAAGATAATTAGCAGTAATATAGTTTCTGGTAGGTATATCTGAAGTACATTAAAGGTATAGGTGACCAATAAGAGGAAAAAACATTTCACTGTTGGAAGGATTCTGTTTGATCGCAGTTTTCTGCTTAGAAATCTAGAGCTTTGTTTTTAGTCCTGATGTTTTAGTGATTAAGTATAGTTTTTTAGTTCTAGTATTAAATCTTCATATGTTAAACTTTTGAGAGTTTTAGAACATTTAGTTGCATTTAATCAGAATGGAAGGATTATGGTTTACATTTGCGTAGAGATTTTTCATTTACAAAGTATTGCCCCATTTATCAATTCATACCTCATAACTCTGAAATAGTTGGTATCAGCCCCAGTCTACAGGTACAGACATATTTAAGTTTAGAGGATGAACTTGACCTGTCCAAAACCATACAAGCTAGATAGAGGAAGAACTAGTATTTATTAGTCTAAATATGTTTGAGGGATCATATCTCATAATTTCAATTACTAATGTCACTTTAGCATATTAAAAATAAAAATACTTGAATATTTTTATTTGCTTTTCACCATTTATATTGGCTATTTACTTTTTAAAAATGTTTTACTCAGATAGTGAAGGCTAATATTTATTGGTATTTTGGAACCTTACCTGGTTTTTATTGGCTCATTTATTCCTGCAATATTTGCGTTGTGTATCCTGAACTGGAATGTTAACATGGTATCCATTTTCATTGATTATTATTTTTTAATTAAAATGATGTGAATAATCTCTGACCAAGCAAGCCCTGTGGACTTTAACTGTCTACCATTTTTGTAGACTAGCCATATTTTGTATGCCCCAGGTGAATTGTTCTAACATTTTAAAGTGAAGGGATTGAAGTTCCTGGCAGTAATATGATGTTGCTGATAACTCAAGGAGTGAAAAAAAAAGCAGGGCATGGTATTGGCATAAAGCACTACATTTAAAGCTGGTAAATTTGGCTCTACTTTTTAAGTGTAAGTTTCAATGTTTGCCAAACTGAGGAGGGTGAAATCAGTAGGGAAAGAATCATCATACTCCAGCTTTTAAGAGGATATTTTAAATAACACAGTTAAAACTCAAATTATAATTTATTACCTGACAATATCTTTAAATAGTATAGAGCGCATACGTAAACATTTTTCAAAAAGTAATCATGTTTCTTATTAGTGTATAGCTTTTTATGACCATAAGGGTTTTTCTTTACTTACATATGAATTCTTAATACCATATAGCTTGGAGGAATGTCTACATGTCATAAAGCCTCTGTTTTCAAGCCTTATTTATGATTTAGCTGCTTTGTATGAGGTTAGAGCAATACAGGCAAGCACATTGCCCTAGAAGCAAAGAGGCGGTGAGATATATACCCTACACATGTATACATTTCATCCACCTTTGTTTTTAAATATGAAGTAACTCATGGTTAGTCACTATTTCAAGTGTATGGGTGTACAGAGGAAGAGTTCTTAAACTTTTTCAGCACTATAGGATGTACTGGGCTCACAGCTGAAATAGCTTTATTCATTGCATGGAGCTCATTTTGCCTCAACCTTTGCTTCACTATTTGACACTTTAATTCTAAAGAACTTCTCTCATTTCTGACTGCTTTAAACTGATCCTTACGTTACATATCAGTATTCTTTATAAAGATAGTTTTCTTATTTTATAATACTCTTGTTGCTCTATGATACTGGGATTATCGGTTAGTTTATTAGTAGTTTTCAATCCCTGTCTTTTCACAGTAAACCGATAAGCCTGGTTGGATGAATTTAGATAGTTTTCTGCCTTCATCCATGATCAGATGCTGGATACTAGAGTCCATGCCCCCACCAACCCACAACCATAAAGAAATGCTTTTCTTAAAATATACTCAAACACCTGGTTGTAAGCATAGAAGGCTTTAAAAAAATGATATTTTCCCCTTTATTGTGGGGAATTTGGAAAATACAGAAAGGTATACAAAGAAAATTAAAAACCTGTAATTTTCGCCATCTAGAGAAATATGTTAAAATTTAAGTGTATATATTTCTGTTTATTCCTTTTTCTATTTAGATTTTTGTATAAATGTTTTTGTGTATATATGTATATTTTTAAAATTAAATTTAGATCTAATACTATCAGTTTTAATCTTTTTTCATATAATAATATCATTTTCCCATTCCATTAAATGTATTTTGACACCCCACCCCCTCCCCAGATTAATTACTATACAGTGTTCTCTCATACGATGCACCATGATTTAACTGTTTATTCATTGTTGAATGTTTTAGGTTACTTAACAATTTTTTTTGTCATAAATAATCCTGTGACAAACATCATTATACATAAATTATTATGTGAAGTTCTTATTTTCTTTGTATAATATCTTGGAAGGCAAGTTCATGCTTTCAAAGTGCTTTCTAGAAAGGTCAAGTTTTTATTAGAATAAGCAATTAAGTGGAAGGCATGACTATTTTTGCAGTTATTTAATTCATGTCTTATGGAATCAAATATTTACTTATATGTGTATATATAGAGAGAACTATTAGATATGTAAGTCTTTTGGAGAGCTTTGTTGAAAAATCATGCCTATTTTATGCAGAAGATGGGTTCCTTCAGAACCCAGAGGTAAACTCATTATCTTGACTCTAAGGACATTATGAGAACCTTTGACAATGGCAGGACTTGATTTTGATTCCCTTGATCTTTAGTACAATGTCCAGGCAAGGCTTGCGTCTATATACTTGTCCATTTGTTCATTCATTTGCTCATTCTTTGAGCAAAGTAACACATAAAACATTATCCAAAAAACCAAGATTGTCAGAGTGATTTAAGAATCTGTGAATAGTAAAATCTGGGCCAATAAATTTGTGTTCTTTAAGCCTACCTACCATAATGCTCAAACTTTTACAGGCATCTTATTTTTGAATAGGAATCTCTGGAATGCGTCAGTATCATGGCCCATGATCCAAATGTGATTCACATTTACTTGCACCCATTGTATCTTGACTCCTTATAAGTAAAGACTATGTATAGGTGAGTTCTCTAATACGCTATGAACTAGATATGTGGTCGGATGCTGTGATACACCGTGATGTACATGAGGTGCATTCTCTGCCCTAAAGAATGCTAAACAGGTGAACTTGTATAGTCTCTTGTAACATGAGAACTATACACTGAATACTGTGAAAACATAGAGGAAGACTTTATTTATTTATTTATTTGTTTATTTTTGGCTGTGTTCGGTCTTTGTTGCTGCGTGTGGGCTTTCTCTAGTTGGGGTGAGCAGGGACTACTCTTCGTTGCAGTGCACGGGCTTCTCATTGCAGTGGCTCCTCTTGTTGTGGAGTGTGGGCTCTAGGCATGTGGGCTTCAGTAGTTGTGGCACATGGGCTCAGTAGTTGTGGCTTGCGGGGTCTAGAGCACAGGCTCAGTAGTTGTGGTACACGAGCTCAGGTGCTCCGCGGCATGTAGGATCCTCCTGGACCAGGAATTGAACCCATGTCCCCTGCATTGGTAGGCTAATTCTTAACTGCTGTGCCACCAGGGAAGTCCGAGGAAGACTTTTTTTTAAATGAGTAATACTTCTTTCTTCAATATAATGTAGATGTCACCTGAGATATAGAAACATGCTATTGAAATTTTAAACTTTTATAATTTGATAATTCTAGTCATAAATTGTATTCTTAATTTATTCATAATTGTAATATAATGCTGTACTTGCTTTTCCTTATGCTATGCCTTTTTCTTCTGTTTTCTAACATTGCCCCCACCTCCCATTTTGTTAAGCTGGTGAACTTGGTTTGCAACTGTCTCATAAATTGACACACCCGTAATGGAAAGGATTTGACATTTTCATAGTTATAAATATAATTCATTTGTTAAGCAAGTTTTGTCAAAAAAGTGATCCTTGTACTTTGGTATGGAGTTAAATCTTGGTTTACGTTTCCTTGAGATAGTTCTTAATGCTTACTTTCTAAGAACACTTTTTTATTAACCAATTATTTGGTGAGGGAGCATTGTCAGAGGAGGCATCATAATCACATATGAGAGACTGGAGTTAATTAAGAGTTAAAGTTGATGTAAGTGGATAAGAGGCAGCTTGGTTTTTGTGGCTCTTAACAGTTCACTATTCAGAGACTGCAGGTAAAGGGAAAAACATTTGTGAAACTGGCCCACGGATAAAAGTGCTTTTTTATGTTACCTGAGCATGTTACCTTGGACTGATGAGGCATTAGATGATGGCAAGTGTATTATAAAGATATTGTAACAAGATGGCCAAAAACTGACATATAACTAGAATATTCTTATTCTTGTGCAATCTTATTTCTAAAACTAGTAAGGAATGCTAAGGTTTCTCAGTAGAAAAGATGAAATTTTAACTTTTATTCTTGAGAGTATATTAATCAGTTGTGTTTTTAATGTGTACCCATTCTGTGCTTAGTCATTTGATAAATGATATGCAGGCCTATAGCAGAAAAATATGACTTGCCTGTTTTCATAGGCAGAGAAAATTATAGGTGCAGAAGTAGCACTGGGATTGGTGTGCTCAAGGACCAGTGTGGAAACCAGCACATTGAAGGAGAGGTATATATTGGATAATCCTGAAAATTAAGGTCTGATGGAACTGGAGGGCTAAGCAGAGCAGTTTGGTCTTTGTGTGGTAGGTAATAGGAAGCCATAGTAAAAGGAGTTACTTGTTAAACTAGAGTTTATGGTGTGTATTTTGGAGTAGGAACAAATAAGATCTAATTGGTGGATTTAAGGCCAGATTATAAAGGATTCTGAAACCCAAGACAGGAAGTTGGAACTAAATACAATGGGGATTTGGAAGGTTTTTGACCAATTTCACATGTTGTTGGTTCTTGATATGGTGAAATGAGGTTTTTTTGTTTTTTTAGGATGTTTGCTATGGCAGGATGCATCAGAGCTATTTGAATGATAGAGAAACTTGAAATAGGGAGAAAATATGGGAAGCCAAAAGAGATGTGGGCCTGTCTATTGAGCTGGCATTGATAACATTTTGAAAGAAGACATATGTTGGTGACAAATTTAGTTCATTCACATACTCGTTGAATGATTACTTGAGTAATTGCCGTACAGTGTGTGCTAAGCACTGAGGACTCAGTGGCGTGAAAAGATACAGTGTGGAGCCAAGGGGCTTTCATTTTGTTAGAGGGTACAGGGAATGAAGACAAGGCAAGAAGCAAAGATTGACACCAGGATTTCCAACTTGAACAATCAGAAGAATATAGGGTATAAATTTGATAGGTAGATAGATTTGATAGGTGGAAGAGAAGCAGTTTGTGGAAGGATGTGGGGGAGAGGGTAAGATAATAATATGTTTGGATCAGTAGATATAGATCTACTACATAGATGTTAATGATGGAAAATATAAGTTTATATATATAAGTATATAAATTAGGGTTTCATCCTCTGACTTTTCAGAGTGTTGCAGGTGATGAGTATACGTTTCATCTGACTTGGTCTGTGACTGTGTTTATTTTGTGTTTTTCTTGTCACATAAAAATAAATGACATTTCATCAATTTTCTCTATAGTCTAGTGTTACATGAGAATTTTGATACATATTTACCTCTTTTCTATAGGTAGAAAACTTTTTGAAGAGTTTTCCTATCACACTAGTCACATAGGTAATACCATTGAGTTTGGGAGAAATGTTTGTCATGGAATAGAGCTTCTAATTTGTTTCAGTTAACTAGTCAGGAGAGGAATATTGATGGGGAAGCAGATAGTGATATTTTTAGATTCTGAGTTTGGTGTGTAGGCCCTCAGATTCCAAAAAGATGAATGCTGTAAGATTCAATTCTTAATATTCTCTCATTCTAGGACAACTTGTAATTTATTATTCCAGGCCTTCATTTTCATCCTCATGACAGCTTTCACGTCATCTAGGGATGACATCAACTACATGTATTAATTGTATACAACATAAACAGAAGTAACCAAATATCACTAGTCCTTAACTCGGGCCTCCTTTTCTCCCCCCTTCTCTAAGGAACGACTACCAAAATCACTACAATCCCAATGACTTCCAAGCCCAATGTGATTGTTGTGCAAAAGACTACAGGAAAAGGAACCACCATTCAAGGCCTCCCGGGCAAAAACGTTGTCACAACATTGCTAAATGCTGGAGTAAGTAAGAGCTTGAACTGCAGACTCAGCAATCCACTAAGGATTTTAAAGACCAGCTATACAAATATTTGTCTAAGGACTTCAGAACCCACAATGGCCAGAATGGCTTGATTTACCCCTGCTGTGATGTAATAACTGTTAAAAAACACCACCTACTGATGCCATTTTTTATAGTAATTTCTAAAACATGTTGTTCATAGCTAAGTTGCTTATGACCATGATTTAGATGCTTAGCTTGGTCCAGATGGAAGATTCCACTGGGTTAACTACAGAGGGACTTCTGTCAGAGGACAGTTTATTCCTGCTTTTGGCCAATAGATACCAGTCTAGTATTTCGCCTAGGCTAGGCAAAGAGAAATATTTGGGACTAAGACTAAATTAATGACAATGATTTGTTACTTTCATTTTTACGTCTTTGAGCTAGTGAAAAAAAAATCAAATAAATAACAGATTCATTTATAGTTCTGAAGGCAGTTGTTAAGAGGTTAAGAGATTTGGAGTTAGCCAAACCTAGGCTTTGTCTCTGAGTATCATAATTGTTTGACTTTGGCTAACTTATTCGACTTCTCTCATCCTTAATTTCCTCATTTGTACGTTGGGGATGATGATCTCTACCAGTGAATTTGTTGAGTAACTAACTGGTAGCTGTTGAAAGTGCTTAGAACAGTGCCTGGCACATAGGAAGTCCTCAATAATTTTTTTTTCTTACTGTTATTACTCTTTGTACTTAACTATCTAGGTTTGGTAGTGTCCCTACTTTGCTAGAAAAAAAATGCTATACTTCATTGTAGTTGATCTCTAGTAGCTTCCTAGGCATCACAGTCTTTACAATGTTGGTAGGGGTCTAGTATTAGATTTTTTCATCACGTGGGAAAACATAGATTGTTCCTTGCCTTAGTTCACATAGTAAGCCAAAAGTAAAGCCAGGATTAGAATTCAGATTTTCAGAATGCTTTATCTTTTGGTTTGTAATTTCATGGAACTTGATATTAAAAGAGGGGAGTGCCATGTACTCTAGGTCCTATGGTCACATAGATCTAAGAATAGTGTGTGTGAGTACTAGCTGCTATATACATCTAATAGCAACAGTTTGACACAGGAAATGATAGTCAAACAAGCAGATCAGAGTATAAGACCATCAGCTTAAACACATATGTACATGTACCTGTACTCATAACTTGCTTACCTGTGTATGCGTAAACACACACACACACACACCAGAAGAGCTTTTTCAAAAAATAGCCTGCTAGTTGGTTTTGATTGGTTTTGAATGGTCTTTAATTATACTTGGACAGGCCCCATTGAGCTACTTAATAGAAGGGCATGCCCACTTGCAAACTGGCAGCTCTTGGCAAATGAACTAGAGCTCTTTCCAGAGATGCTGCTGTGAAGGGTGTACATGTATTAAAATAAGTAATCACATGATTGGCAGACACTCCATGTTTCCCTTAGATAACTGCGGCAGATATTTAAACATGTGAATTTTGTAATCATTTAGCTCTAAATTCACAGAGTGATTACCTTTTTGCCCGCTCACCTGGGTGCTTTGTTTTTACTGGCTGCTAAGTTTAGATGGCCACACATTTAGGTGATGATGACTAAAAAGAAAAACTGATAAGGTGAAAAAATTTCAGATCCTTTACTTTTTATGGATTTTAATTTTTAAAATTTTAATAGTTTAGTAAAATGACTGTATTTGAATTTAATTTAGTTAAGCTCAAGTATTGACTCCATAACTGACCAGAAAATGGTACTTAAGAATAAAGCAGATGAAAATGGTGAAAAGTTAATGGGCTTAAACTATCTAGTTAATAGACTAAAGTGATATTAGTAACATGCTGACGTGGGAGAAGTCCTATGTTTTTTCTTTGTATTTTCCCATGTAACCTCAGAAAGAATGTTAATATCTCTGCTGATTTCATCTTTTGCCCATACTGTTTCACAGAGGCCTTCTGCTATATATCCTTATAATTTCATGTTTGGGGAACTGAGGTAGTTTATTTTGTATGTGAACATTTAGCTATTGGTAAAATGCACAGTAATTTTTTTATTACACATATGTTCATTTCAGATAAACGTCAATAAAGATGAATGTTGGGGGGACAAGACCTATAGTCCCAACACTTAGAGATAACCATTGTTAGCATTTTAGTATATATTCTTCTATAATTTTTGACTCTTATTTTATGTACATATTCTATGAATGAGACAGTATAATAAGTATTCTTACATAAGGTGATTTTTTAAATTCACTCACCAAGAAGTATTTAATGCCTTCATAGGACAGAAGGTTGGTCAGAGGACTTCTGAGATCATTTCAACTAGATCTAAGATTTTTGATCACCTGGAAACATTGTACTTTGTTGCAGAGTTTACAGCCCTTTACCCATCATCCTGGTAAAACCTTTCTGTGATTTTCAGTGAAAAAATGCATATAAATCTCATATATTTACTGACTTCAATTTAGGGAGAAAAGACTATTCAGACGGTACCAACAGGAGCAAAGCCAGCTATTATCACTGCTACAAGACCCATCACCAAAATGATTGTAACTCAGCCAAAAGGAATAGGTTCCACAGTTCAACCAGCAGCTAAAATCATCCCAACAAAAATTGTTTATGGGCAGCAAGGGAAAACACAGGTATGCTAAGATATGGTGATTTTTCTTGACTCTGGTATATTTCAAATTCCTAGAAAAGATGAGTAATATTTAAAGAATCAGATTATTAAAAGTTATGATTGAATGTGTATAATCATCTGTTTTCAAAATAGTACTTTTCAGTACTTAAAAAAATATACATCTTAAATATTTGTGTCATGTCATGAGCAAAGCTTAGAGAACAGAATCCCCTTGGAGGACTTCCCTGGTGGCGCGGTGGATGAGAATCCACCTGCCAGCGCAGGGGACACGGGTTTGATCCCTGGTCTGGGAAGATCCCACAGGCCGCAGAGCAACTGAGCCCGTGTGCCACAACTACTGAGCCTGCGCTCTAGAGCCCGTGAGCCACAACTACTGAAGCCGGTGCCCCACAATAAGAGAAGCCATTGCAAGTAGAAGCCCACGCACCATAACGAGAGTGGCCTCCGCTCGCCACAACTAGAGAAAGCCTGTGCACAACAACGAAGACGCAACACAGCCAAAAAAATAAATAAAATTAAATCTTTGAAAAAAAAAAAAAAGAATCCCCTTGGAATGAAATTTGCTGAAGGTATATATTGTTTTTTGAGAAGAAGATGGTTGAGGGATGATGGTTATTCATAATCTCTCAAAAGTATTTTTTATAAGCTTATATGGCCTTTGAAAGCACTTTGGATATTATAAAATTTGATTTACTTGAAACCTAAATAATGGAGAAGCTGAAGATCCATTCATTTTTCAACAAGTAAACGATAAGGGAGCTTTTCTGGAGATTTGTCTGGGAAACTGAGGCTCAGGATTTAATCCTGTGTTGCTGGGCTACTGTTTATTTTGCAGGTACTTTACTTTTCTGAGAATATCAAAGGAATCGATGTCAGCTTTGGTTGAGAAATGCTATCCTAAAATTTTTGTAAAAGCTACTAATTTACCTATAAACTAATAATTTGCCTTTAGAATCAGTTCCCTCAGTATTATAGCCAAATAGTTTACATATCTAAACAATAAGTTTTGTGATTTTCTAATAAGTTCAAATTGCCTTTAAATTTCAACTGTAACAGTTTCATTTGCTCTATCATCTAAGTCATAACCCATGTTTTCATTCTTGAATTTTTGGAAATGGTGACTTAAAGAGTCTGAAAAGGTTTAGAAACTTATATATGGGAGAAATAAAAAATAATTGTGGTGAAATAATATTTTTATTCCATGTACCCAATTGAAGTTAACTCCCAGAGTCCAGATTTTGAAGTGGAATGGTTCACTGTGAAACTTTTCTCCCATTTCACTTGTTGTAGTGTCTGTGGTTTTGACCTTTGCCAAGAGTTGATCTATCGCATGTTCCTTATCGATTGTAATAGTTGTCTAAATTAGTGTTCCTCTGGGGATTTCTTCAAAGATGACTTAGGTCCTTAGCAATTTTACTTTGTGCAGTTGTGTTAATTAGGAATTTCATTTGGTTGCTAAAGAAAAGAAACCTGAAGAACAGTGGCTTAAACAAATTAGGGTTTTATTTTTATTATGTTGATAAATATTCAGAGGAAGGAAATCCTGGACTGTTATTGTGACTCAAAAATTCCCCTGGGAATCTAGGCTCCTTGTGTCTTTCTGTTCTGCCATCCTTAGTTTGTGACTATCTTTCTACTGTATAGCCTACAGACTGTAAAATGACTCCTGAAGTCATTACAGGCAAGAAAAAACAGGGTCAAAGGCTCTTGTTAGAATCATAGCTGTTGTAATGTAGCATGTACCGCTTGAAATTTTGTATGTGGCCTGCTATAATTTGTTCATAGATTGAATTAGTCTTTGATGAACAGTGCTGTGCCCAAAGTATAATAAATGTACAGAGCACTGTTTTCTGTGTCAGGAAAATATTTGTTTCATCATGACCTAGAAGTTAAGCATTTTTTAAATGCTCTAAATTTATACTGGTTGTATTTTTGCTTGTGTTCTAGGTTCTTATTAAACCTAAACCAGTGACGTTTCAAGCTACAGTTGTTAGTGAACAAACAAGGCAGCTGGTCACGGAAACATTACAGCAAGCATCCAGGGTGGCAGAGGCTGGTAATTCATCTATTCAGGAGGGAAAAGAAGAACCACAGAGTTATACAGATAGTAGTTCCTCTTCTACGGAGTCCTCCCAAAGTTCCCAAGGTAAGATCCATTTTACTTCTGATTTATGTAATTACTGCTGACATAGTGCCCTAGTCCTAAAATAGTTGAATCTAGGGATCTCAAATAAACATGTATGCTTTGACTTGTTAGTTCTTTTGATTTTATTGTCTTTTGTTTGATATGTAATCAGTGAGCTGAAGTTTTGTTTTTGGTAAGGCTTATTACCATTCTTTCCTGCCTGGCATATGTTCATCAAGTAATAGGTAAATTTTAGATGATGATTTTGGCAGGTAGGTATTATCAAACTGGATAGAGCTGTGATTCCTTCTGTTTGCTTTGAGTAAGTAGGAGAAGTATGCAAGAAAGTGAATATACCTTTTGAAATGGTTGTTGCTGAATCTTGAGAAAGGATCAAGGTGGTCAGAGATGGGGCCATAAGTGGGCTGTAAGTGGGTGATCATACATTGCAGTTTGCATGGGACAAGTCTTAGTTTATTTCTGTTCTAGAATAATTATTAATAGCATTCGCTTTCACTCTCAAAAGTGTTCCAGTTTAATGATAATTATATGGTTGTCCTAATTATAAGGAAGGTGCTATGAAGCCAGACTCCATAATAGGGAAAATCATTATCCTTAGTGCTATTTTAATTATGTTGTTCTAGGAAGTCATTTGAAATAGACTCATGATCATAAGCTTTGAGACTTTCTACAAATCTAGTACCCATGTCTGTCAGTTACCTTAACCACCCATATTGTCAGGTAGTATATTTATACCTGTACTTAGAAGCTCTGATATATCCAAACAAAACTGTTCATCTTCTCTTGATCATTCCTCACTCACTCCGTTTCCTCCTCCTCACCTCTCCATTATTGTCTCTGGAATGCTTTCTTGGCACCTTCACTTTTCTAATACAGCTTCTTCATATTGTGCAGGAATTATTATTTTAACTCTTCAGTGGAATCTTCCTAGATTAGTCTTACTAATGGTTCACATTGCTGATTATTCCATTAATTCAATTTGACATTTATTTATTAGTTTATATTATGTATTAAACTTCATGAGAAAGCTTCATGAAGGAGGTAGCATTTGAAATGGTCTTTGAAAACTCATCAGTTAAAAATTAAAATGTTGATTTTAACAAACAGACAATATGGCACTCATTTTAGAAAATGGATAATTTTCTTCTGCATATTATCAATAATAGTAATATTTTCTGAATCAATTTGCTAAGATTTAATTTATTATTCTATATTGATTATGAATCAGTTTATGTCTAGTTATAGTAAGATGATGCTTATTCTCTATTTCTTTTAGACTTACTGATTTGATATGTATAGATTCCATTCTTAGTTTAACTCATCAGATGTTTTTTTTCCTCTTTTATTTTTAAGTCTGTAGTTATTTGAATAATACCAGCCTTTTTTTTTCCCTTGAGAAATATTTTCATAGTGGGCCAGTAAAATGTTTAGGTTATGAATTGGTGCTGAAATGGGGACCTGAACAGTAGATGTCTGTGTATACATAATCTCAGGTTATCTTTTGAAATTGCTAGTTTTTTCCCAAGAGAGCTATAAGCCAATCATTACTTCCCTAACATGCCATTTCATTAGTGAGCCTTCAATTTTCATTCTAAGAAAGGGACAAAAATTTGGCTATTTTTGGAACTGATTGAGTGTAAAGTTTTCTGCTCTTTGATCTGTTATTATATATGGCCTCATTTATTTTTGTTGTTTATCTTTCATTGCATATTACTTCTTTTTAAAATATTCTGTAATACAGAAAAAATTCACCATTCAAAGTAGGTATATGTAATATAGTTGCCTATAAAGCCAGTTTTTATAGTCTGCGTTTACTCCTCTCACCATATCCTTGTATAGTTCCTTAGTACATTCTCACAAAGACAAGGGACTGGGAATACATATGCTATGATTTAAGAGAAAGGGATAAAGGGCTTTTTTGGGGTTTTTTGGGGGTTTTTTTGGCCACACCTCAGGGCACGTGGGATCTTAGCTCCTCGACCAGGGATCAAACCCACGCCCCCTGCCGTGGAAATGCAGAATCTTAACCACTGGACCGCCAGGGAAAGGGATAAAGGTTTTGATCAGTCTAAGACTTATGTTTGGTTTTCAAGGTATAAGAGGGTCATACTTAACGGGGAATAGAAGCACTATATAAGAGTCCATTCTTTCTTTATATCGCTTTTGTAGTTTTTAGTGCACCTCTTTTTAGTAACTTTTAATGTAATTTCAAACTTACAAAAAGTTGCAAGAAGATTAAAAAGAACTCCTGTGGGCTTCCCTGGTGGCGCAGTGGTTGAGAGTCCGCCTGCCAATGCAAGGGACACGGGTTCGTGCCCCGGTCTGGGAGGATCCCACATGCTGCGGAGCGGCTGGGCCCGTGAGCCATGGCCGCTGAGCCTGTGCATCTGGAGCCTGTGCTCCGCAATGGGAGAGGCCACAACAGTGAGAGGCCCATGTACCGAAAAAAAAAAAAACTCCTGTGTATATTCTTTACCTAGATTCACCACTTATTTATATTTTGCCCTATTTGCTTTGTTGTTGATTCTCTTTCTGTCCTCCCTGTGTCTATAATTTTTAAAGTTTTTAACCATTTGAGAGCAAGTTGTAGATATTATGTCCTTTACCTCTAAATACTTACATTTGTAGGTTTATATTTCTTAAGGGTTAGTCTGTTCATAACTAAAATACAGTTATCAAAATCAAGACATATGAAGTTACAGTTCTGTAATCTACAATCCACTCAAATGTCATCAGCTGTCCAATCATGTTCTTTGAAGTTTTACCACCACCCGCCCCCCCCCCACCAGTCCACAATCCAAATTAGGATCATGCATTACATTTAGTTGCATTTAATTGTCATGGCTCTTTTTTCCCCTTAAATTTGGATAATCCTCCAGCCTTTCTTTGTGTTTCTTGATCTTGACATTTTTGAAGGAAATAATCAGTTACTTTGTAGAATAGTCTTCAATTTGGTATTGTCTGATGTTTCTTTATCGTTTGATTCAGCAGGAATTCCACAGATGTGATATATCCTTAGCTTTGTCTTATCAGGAGGCACTGATGTCAGTTTGTCCCAATATTGATGACGTTAATGTCGATCTCTTGGTTAATTAAGATGATGTCTTCCCGTTTTTTTTGCATTATGAAGTTACCATATTTCCCTCTGAGATTAATGGTAATTTATGGGAGATGCTTTGAGACTATATAAATATCATATTCCTCATAAAACATTTATCTACTAGTTTAAGCATCCATTGATAATTTTCTAAAGCCCATTATTTGTTAGATAGTTGGCATTCTACTGTAGTAATGAATCAACTTTGCTTGACTTCATATCCTTTTTCTGGTGACTTCCTTTACACAAGTCTTAGAATAAGGATGTCTTTTATGCCAAGGAATTTCTTGATTCTACTTGTGGTTTCGAAACTTTCCCCACCATTCCCCACCCGCAAGGAGGAGCAATTTAGGCCTTATACCTTATTTCTTTCTTCTTTTTTTTTTTTTATACCTTATTTCTGAACTATCTCCTCACAGTCTAGAATAGAGACCTTCACCTTCACCTTGTTGTGGCACTTTCCTTGATCACCCTAGGAGGGTTCATCACTCCTTCTATATACTACGCTTCCGAAGTTGCTTTGTACTACCAGCTATTTTATCATTGATCATTTTATTTTGTACTTTTTTTTGTTTGTTTAATATAATTATTTTCCTTTCCACTAGGCTACTAGCTTCTCAAAGGCAAGGATCATATTCATCTCTATATATTCAATAATTAGCGAAGAGGTTAGCTAGCTCTAAGTAGACACCCAGTAAAAGTCCCTGAATGAACAAACAGCAGAACAGCAACCATAATAACTGTGATACGGAGTTAAACTTCAGCCTTATAAACTAATTTCTGTTGCCTGAGTCCAAAACATTTTTTCCTTTTTGGCGTTTCCCCTAACCTAGTGGGTGGGCCTTTTAAGCTGTATACCCCTGAAGTATTTTTACATACTGATAGCTAGATGACCAACCCTAATAGTTCAAGGTCATACTTGCCTAGATCAATTACTGAAGATTGGACCGTATGCCTTCCACAGCGCCTGAGCTTTCCTTCCTATTTGGATCTTCTTATTTTCCCTTTCTCACTTGGGAATAGGGTTATTGGGCTTATTGGGTTATAGATTTTTTTTAAAAAAGAAAGAAAAAATGTTAAAAGTTTTCTTTATTTATATTCTCTTTATTTCCAAAAGGTTTTAAGGTAGATGAGCTAGAATATAAGATTATGTGAAGTAAAATGGAAGAGAAAAAGGAGACAAAACCAAGAGTAAGGATTTAAGATGGAACATGGCATGAGGCAAATATAAAAATGCATCCTGTAAAGACATTGCTTTAAGTAGGCCACAACTTGGTTTCTAGGATGGTTTTTCCAGAAGCTTCATGATCTTGGTAGGTCATGGTGAGGGTGAGGAATAAATCGAGGTTAAGCAAAACATACTTATTGCAGAACTTTTCAGAGCCATTATATGCTAATATATGTTGTGAAAGATGAAGGATATAATGTAAAATGCCCCCAACTTTTTTGACCATGGAACCCTTCTTTTGCAGAACATCTTTTTTAAAAAAAATTATTTATTTACTTTTGGCTGTGTTGGGTCTGTTGCTGCTCACGGGCTTTCTCTAGTTGCGATGAGTGGGAGCTACTCTTCATTGTGGTGCGCACGCTTCTCATCGTAGTGGCTTTTCTTGTGGCGGAGTACGGGCTGTAGGCATGCGGGTTCAGTAGTTGTGGCTCGTGGGCTCTAGAGCACAGGGGCAGCAGTTGTGGCGCAGGGGCTTAGTTGCTCTGCGGCATGTGGGATCTTCCCGGACCAGGGCTCGAACCCGTGTCCCCTGCATCGGCAGGCAGATTCTTAATCACTGCGCCATCTTGAGGAATTAATGTTCTCTGGAACATGTGGGGCAAAGCTGTATAAGCAGTTAAATACTGTGAAGACCTTGGGCTTTATGACAGTACTTCAGAGGGAAGGTACCTATTACATCATGGAAGGGATATAGACATCTTGGGTTTAGTTTAGAAGAGATGGTTTAGATGCATAAGGCATCTGGGAATCATTTTATATGAAGAATGGTAGGTGGAGAAAGGACATTTATCATGGAGAAGAGAAGATGAAAATTGGGTGGGGTTGTGGGGGACACGGAACTGTTGTCAGTTATCTTGAGGACTGTGACATGGAAGAGGGAAAAGAATTGGTCTTTGGTAGGTACATGGACAGAACTAGAACCATTGAGTAGCAATCAGAAGACCTGTTTCCACTCTATATAAGAAAATTTTCTAATTGTCCTAACAGTGCAAAGATGGAAAGAAACTGTCTTAGAAAACAGTGAGTTCTGTGGTGTGGGATCCCTAGATTGTTAGGGATATTTTGAAGATTTTAGCATAGGATTGTTGATAGTATTACTTGATGATAGTTGATGATATCATCATCTATCAATGATCATACTATCATTGATGATAGTATACTTTTAGATTGTCTTTTCTAGCTGAGAGATCTTATGATTCTTTGCAAATGTGATATAGACTTTTTATTGTAAAGACATAGGAGACATTCTTCCATAGAGATGCCTGAATCTGCCTTTGAATATAGCAATACAGTGTTTATCTCTAGTACCTAACATGTAGTAGATGCCCAATAAATATTTGTTAAATGACCTGTGGGGAAAGATATCTGAGGGTCAGTAGGCCATCATCCTCAAGAGACATAGGAAAGTCTAGATGGATGCACACTGCATAATCAAATGGAACTGTTAGATCAGGCTCCTGGTGTCTCAGTCATTGCAGTCTGACCCCAGCATCAGACTTGGTAGGCAGTAGATTTATCTAGTCTAAGCATAAGCCAAAAGTAGAGAGGTAAATCACTCAAGGAATGTTTTTCACATTTAGGTTCACACCCTCATTCTGTGTCACAGCATTTGGGGTTGCTGCATTGGTGCTTTGTATGGTCAGCTACACTTTCTGAGTATGGGCAGAAAGAGAAAGACCAATCTCCCCAGTCCCTATGGGATGATGTTATGTGGGGTGATGTCTCTGACAGGTGGTCCCATGTGGAAATTTGTTCTCCTTTTCCAGTCTTATTCTACCTTATCTCTCTACCGGTGCAGTTTTTGCTTTCTTCTGGGTATTCAGTGTGTGTATTTTACAGAGTTGGGTTGCAAAGTCATTCTTTGCCTATAGGTCCTCTCACCTAGCCGGGGGTACTTATAGCATCATGAGAAATTCTTAAAATTGAGAACTTAGTTTATATAAAACTAATGATTCCCTAATATAATCAGTTCTCTTAAGTTTAAATTCTATATATCAACTTAGAATGAGTAAAGAAAAACTGTTATATGCCTCATGTGGCATTTGATATTACTACGGGATATTGTCCTTCAGTCATCTAGATTTTTTTTGAAAGTTTAATGGAAATTATACATCCCTGGTGTGGTATATATTCTACCTAGTGTTTAGAGGCTAGGGTGGGGAGCGGAAATACAATTTGTTAATGGTAAATAAAAATTCCAGATATTTTGTATATTGATTTTGTTTTCTTTAGGAAGACAGTTTTTTTGTTTTTTTAAGAGTCATTCCCTCCCCCCCCCCCCCCCGCTTTACCTTTTTGGACAACTTTGTGGTTTTTGAAAATACAAAGTTCATAGAAGGTTGAACTTAAGTTGTTTATTCTTGGTTTTAGGGCTGCATGAATTCTTTTCTGTGATGCTTTCACTGACCATTCCAATTCACAATAGTCTTTTTCTTTCTATATAGTTGCCCTATTTGCCCTAATCATTTGACTTTATCCCAAAATACAAAGCTATATGTATATCTTTATTTTATGTCTCCTCCATTATAATCTAAACTTGGGAGTAAGAGTCATGCTTTTATAGCCTGTATAATTTCCTGTGTGGTATCTTGGACCAAGGAGTTTAGGAACTTAACAATAGTCTAATACAACCTACTTATTCTGTAGACGGAAAACTCAATAAATAATTTGTTGTTTGATTTGATGTGTATTTAGTATTTACATGCATACTTATATAGCATGAATATAATACGCCTTGAGTTAGGGCTATAATTTATTTGGAAACTAACAAAAAGGCTTAGAACTTTTCAACCCACAACAACAAAATAAAACACTTCTATTGTCCTTCATAGTTTATAAAGCTCTTTTATGTACGTCATTTCATTTTATCCTTAGAAATCCTGTGAGGTAGAGAGGTAATTTTAGTGTTGCCATTTTAGAAATAATGATACTAAGACCCAGAGAATTAACTTGCTGATAATTGGTAGAGCTAGGACTGTAACATAAGCCTTTGAACTCCAAATGTTATACGTGTCATATCATGCTACTTCTAGATCATTTATCCATTCTTGTTGTCATGGACAGGATTTCCTTTCAGTAACTCAGCCATCCAATAAGTGTTCACTGAATGCTCAGGTTATAATACAGAACACATTTTTAGGTGCACTGGGGAAAACAAGACTCATACAGCGTTTTGTTCTTACTGTACACAAACATGCACCCACCCACACAAACGCACACCTATTTATTATAGCAATTATAACATTGAATTGTAATTTGTCTCTTTACATGTCTGTCTCTCCAACCAGATTGTGTGCTTCTTGAGCATCCTTTGATTATTCTGTGAGCTCCTTTATATCCTCAGTGCCAAATGTTGACTCAGGCACATGGGTGCCTAGTCTGTTGAATCAGTGAGTGAATGAATAAGTGAATACAGACATGAAAGACATTATGCCCTCTGGGGGCTTACAGTCTTCTTGGGGAGATAAAGCATGAAGTTTATAGTAAAACAAAGATTAAAAAAAAAAACAAATTGTTTTTTTTTAAGAGAAACTTTGTTTATAGGGTTTTTTTTTTTTAACTAATATAAAACAGATTCCCAGCCTGTAGTTCATGTAATTGCTTCCCGGCGTCAGGATTGGTCAGAACATGAGATTGCAATGGAGACTAGCCCCACCATAATTTATCAGGATGTATCCAGTGAATCACAATCAGCTACTTCAACAATCAAAGCCCTGTTAGAACTCCAACAGACAACAGGTATGAATTCACATGCTCAATTGAATGAAGCATGTTTTCTCTAGAGATGGGTTGTGCTAAAATACTACTACTGTTATATTTTCTTTGTTATTATTTGAGCACATTTCCCCCCTCTGGACTTGTCTATAATCATTGGTGCAGTCTGTTTACTTGTCAGTTCATTAGGATGTTCACAGGAATACTGAAGGATAGACAGACTATAATCAGTAGAAAGAAGAAAAAAATGGCAGAGCTCTTTCTTCTCTGTCTCCTGCTTAAAATGGACAATCCTGTTGCCTTTTGTCACCAGAAAGGAGTAGGTCTATCAGTTCTAAGCACGGAGATAAATGCAGTACAGTTGCCAGTTCTATTCAAGAATAGTTAGGAGGCAGATTGGAGGGCCCCTGCCAACCTCCTTGATATTGATGGGGCAGTTTTGTGGTCCATTAATGGCCTTGCTAGCATTCTAATTTGTTTTTTTATCTTCATACTTCTTTGTGTAATTTAACAACTTGAGCTTCCATGCAAAGCTATTCTTATTTAACAAGATCCAATCAGTATTTCTAGTTACTAAATATCTTTGATAAGCTCTAGGCAAAACTGTGTTAGTTATACTGACTTTTTTATTATAATAGGTCAAATATTGTCAGAGTATTTAAGGGACCTTAGCGATGATCTCATCCAACCCTTTCATTATGGATAAATAAACCGAGACCTAGAGAGGTTACCCAGTTGGTTAGTGGCAGAGTGAGAGTCCATGTCTTTTGATTCCTAGTTCAATGTCCTCTCTATTTGTGGGGTGACTTTTGTATTCCTTTGGTTTTGTTTTGCTTTCTTTGTTTAAATGATTATCTTGATTTTGTTACATTATATGCTTGGTGAGAATAATCTGAATGATCATTCAGTGTACTTAATTACTGGTTACTATTTGTTTGTAACATCCACTCTACACTACCCAAAGAATACTAGCTTTTATTGTAAGTCTTTGGTTAATCTTTCTATTGGTGTTATTTTTGGCTTTAGGCATTTCCTCAGCTCCTTATCTTTTACATACTCAGCTATTTCCATTAAAGCCTTATAGAGGGTAGAAACCAAATGATTTTGTAGAAAAAGTGATAATATAGAAAGTTATTCTATCCATGGAAACCATTCTTGACTCCAGACCATTCCATTGACATTTTTGCAGTAACAGAGAGGCCATATTTTCCTGACACTGAAAATTTTTATTCTTTAAGAGTCACTAAAAATATTGTAACATTTCTTTGGAGATTATCTTGAATTTTTAATAGATCAAATTAAACTGGTCACTATTCACTGTGTTGTGCTCTTCTGGGCAGGTGTGCCCTAGAGCAAATCATGCTGTGTACTGCTTACTCACCCTTTGTTTTCAGGTTGGTGAACTCCACAATACCAGGTACTGCCTTGAAGAAGGGCAAAGGAAATGTTCTAAGGGGAGTATGTACAGGGGAAACAGATGCAATTGTTTGGCCTAGTGATAATAGGGGCGGATTTTAGTCTGATTGCATATGAGTTCTTGCTAGGCTACTGGGTATGGTTGCACAAGTTGTGCACTCTACAGCCATACATAGCAGTCTGCTTTTTTGTTTTCAATTCACTGACTCCTTAGTTACTGCCCATGTGGCACCCCAGAGGTCTTGTTCATTATTCCCGAGAACAACTCTGGTTTTAGTACTTGTTTGTAATAAAAGTTAATTTTTCCCCTGACTTTTTTATACAGTAAAGGAAAAATTGGAATCTAAACCAAGACAACCCACTATTGACTTGAGTCAAATGGCAGTGCCTATTCAGATGACCCAGGAAAAGAGACATTCTCCTGAGAGTCCATCAATTGCCGTGGTAGAGTCCGAACTAGTTGCTGAATACATCACTACTGGTAGGTGTCCTCTTAAAAAGCAGTATTAAGGTAGGAGAGCTACATTTCTGGATTTCATGAGATGGTTGTTTTGGGGAGAATATATTTTTTATATTTCTAGATCTCTTCCAGTTTTCTCTGAGAGCAAATTCACATTGTCCTTGGGATTTACCCTGTCTTTAATGACCAGGGGGAAAAAATCAATAGGTTGTTAGAAAGTTTGCTAGTAATATAAAACTGCAAGTTGGCCATAAATAACATCTGTGAACATAGGGCAATAGTTGCAGTGAGAGGATAGAATATCTTTTATATAAGAATAAATATTCATATGCATCTGGATTTTTTAGTTTTGGGGAAGGGGAGGTGGGTCAAGGGAGAAATAAGGTATAAAAGCCTCTTTCTTTTTTTAAATGTAAAGAAAATGTAAAGAAAAAAATGTGGAAAATTTAAAAAATTTTTTTAAATATAAAGAAAAAAATGTGGAAAATTTTAAATCCCTGTAAATACTTAGGAGTTCTGGTGGAAAGCACATTAGGTATTTGTTTAAAATGTGGTCTGGCAGCAAAACACTATTGAGGTTTTTGGATGGCATATGTAGAGAAGTGGAGCAGGAAGGATAATAGATTCTTTCATATTCTGGTGAGACCACACCTGGAATACTGCTTTCTGTTTTGGACACTTCATTACCTTGAGATTTGAAATAGTTCAGAGGTAGCAATGTGAATAATTAGGGGTTAGGAGAGATAATTTATGAGGCAGTATGTAAAGAACACCTGTCTTACGTTTTCTTTAGCAGTGATTAAAAAAGAACATAAAGTTACAAATATTTGAAGGATGTAAATAACAAAGTGGAAAAGGAATTCTTTGGTATCATTTTAGGAGATATTTTTAAGATTAATGGGTTAAAATTGCCTAAAGGGAAAATCCAATTAAAGATTATGGAAAGCCATCTAGTATCTTTCTTTAGAGCTATTTAGCAAAAAGCAGAGCATAGTATGTTGGGGAAATCAATAATAACCTCTGGGGATAGACTAGATTATCAAACAGTAAATAGATGAAAAGACCTATGATTTCTTCCCTTACTTATCCTTTTCAGAACGCACTGATGAGGGGACAGAGGTTGCTTTTCCCCTTCTAGGTAAGTGGTGTGCATCCATTTGTAGTATAACCTAAGGTAAAATATGATTGTTTGAGGGGGAACCACTTAAATGGATGCGCTCTACTCTGATCTGGTAGAGGAAAGGTAAGCTCTACTCAGTGAAAGGGAGAGAGACTTTCCTTTTGCAGAATACTAGGATTCTTTCTCAGAATTGACATTGGAAAAATGAGTTGTTTAAAGAAATAAGTGACTGTTTTATGGTGTTTACATGGCCCAGTTAAGGTCACTTCAGCTGTTTTCCAAATATGCACTCTGTGACCTCCCTTCCATAATCTCCTCCCATCATATATATCCTCAGCCTCACTGAGTTTTTTCTTTGACTTCAAAGCCAGCTTCTTGGCCCTGGCCTCTTGTATCATCCTGCAGTGGATATTATTTTTCTCTAACTTTTCTGCACTCTGGGGAATTACTATGAAGAGATTTATAGTGTCTTGAATGAGGATTATTTTTAAATGGTTTTAGCTGATCATCTATTAAATCCATTTCATTTCTTAATAAATTTAATGTAATAATTATGAAGATTAGTGTGGGCAACAGAAATCTGCCATATAATCTGATAATTTCATCAGAAATTATACTTATGTACTATTTATTTTTCAAATGTCATTCATTTCTGATGATGCTTACATCAGTAAAAAACTTCATTGATTTGCTTGCTTAATTTTAATATTATTAGTATGATTTGTTTTTTCTCTTTTTCAGTTATATTATAAATGATTCAATACTTATTTTAATATAAACCTTTTTTCAGTTTGATTGAACACATATGAAAGATTTTATTAACACATATAATTTAAAATGTACATGTAAAGCATATTGTGAAATACAGTAAGATACTGTAGTACATTTATAAAAGAATACTGCTGGTGCTACCTATAACCTCATATCACATGTAGGCATATGTATAGCAACAATAGAAAAACTGCATTTGTGAATTTAGATAGAATACGTTATAAAAATAAAGCTTGTTTATATTTCACTGGCTAGTTTTAAAGTTCTGTACTATAACACATAAATGACACTTTTACACTGATTTTTGTAGTGTTCATCTTACCCTTGGTCACTCCACTATGACTTTTTAAAGTATGGAACCACTACTACTTGAAATTGTAGATCAAGATATATGAGAATTAGAACCACGGATTATTGAGAGAGTTTTGATACTCTCAAAATCCTTAGCTAATTTTACAGATTTGTTTTAATCTGTTCCTGATTCAAAAAGTTGGTTTCCTAGTGACCATAAGCATTTTTAAAGGTCTGTAGAATAAGAAGTGATAATTGTTTATACTGTTTAAAAAGTTGAAATTGAGAAGACCTCCCTGGTGGCACAGTGGTTGAGAATCCGCCTGCCAATGCAGGGGACACGGGTTCGAGCCCTGGACCAGGAAGATCCCACGTCGTGGAGCAACTAAGGCCATGCGCCAGAACTACTGAGCCCGCACGCCAGAACTACTGAGCCCACACGCCACAACTACTGAAGCCTGCGTGCCTAGAGCCCGTGCTCCGTAACAAGAGAAGCCATAGCAATGAGAAGCCCACGCACTTCAACAGAGTAGCCCCCGCTCGTCACAACTAGAGAAAGCCTGCATACAGCAACCAAGACCCAACGCAGCCAAAAATAAATACATTTAAAAAAGAAAAAAAAAGTTGAAATTGAGGCTGATTAAAAATGGTAGTTTGGCATCAACATAGATGTATCGTTTTACATCTATATATAAATGTAAATATAAATGTATAGTTTACTCCATGGGACCTTGTAGCAAGAGACTAAGAGGTGGGGTTGTTTCCTAAACTATACTCTCACTCATTTGTGTCAGATGAGCTAAATTTGAATAGATGAAAGAAAGAACACTGACTTTTCTGTTATTTTGTTAACTTTATATTTTAGTACTTAACAATTTAAGGACAATTTTCAATTCATTACTTCATTTGGTCCTCTTCTAAAAAATAAGTTTTTATCCCAATAAAAAAACAAAAATAAAACAAACACAAATAAAACCTCTAAATTTTAGAGGTTAATAACATAGAGTTTAAGTGACCTCTTCAAATTCACATAGCTGGTTGGTGGCAGAGCGGGACAGAATCCAGTTGTGACTCTTGGTCCAGTTCTCTTTCTGCAGTATCACCTTGACCTCTTACATCTTTAGGATATGAGACAGTGTCACTTTATATATAAAGGAGTGAATGCTTCTGGTTTTTGTATTGCATCTGGAACGGGGACCAAGAGATTAAAGAACTTGTACTGTCTCACTGTCCTTAAAGATATTAGTCTGGGATTTGATTGCAGAAACTGATTGTTGTTTTGTTACCTTAATGGGGTAAAGGTCACTGGAGAAAGAGTGCAACTCACAAGAGGATATAACTTTAAGGGATTTGTTCCTCCTTTGTGATAATAGTTTTCACAGTGCTTCCACATACATTTCTCATCTCATCCTTCTAATAGCTCTGTTATTCCCGTTTTACAGATGAGGACACAGAGTCTCAGAGAAGCTAAGTGACTTTTTCAGAGTCACACAGCTCATAAGTGGGCAGACTCTGGTCTTCTGCCTCCTAGTACCACACTTTCTCTCTGTGATGCAATCTCACAGACATTTGTTTCAAATGACTGCTGGTTACAGATGCTGTGGTGATTTCTAGAGAAATATCATCACCTTCTCTATTTTCAGTCAGCCATCGCTCCCAGCCCCAGCAGCCCTCCCAGCCTCAGCGGACCCTCCTCCAACACGTGGCTCAGTCACAGACTGCAACACAGACTTCGGTGGTGGTGAAGTCCATCCCAGCATCTTCCCCTGGAGCAATCACCCACATCATGCAGCAGGTTGTATCTCTTCTTTTTCCTCCTACCTTCTGTAACTGCCTCCTTCCTGAAATAAGGTTTAGTTTCATCTCCTTTTATAAGAGGGGAAATAACTGAGTTGAGGAGTGTTTGTATATAGTTCTTTCATCTGTGAGGAGTAAGGGAAATGAACTGAGAGTCTTAACACCAGAAAGTAATTAAGAAATAGTATTCTTGGATCTTCTGTGAACTCTTAACATTTCAAAAGGGTGAGGCTATCTAGATGAATCTATGACATCAGAATTGGTCACTGTTTCTATGTGTTTTATTGTTATGGAAGGATTTATCACTGAGGTAAGATTTTCAGATGAAACAGAATTTGGCTTGTTTAGCTGTTTGTTGCTGTTGCTGGGTTTTTCATTTGTTTTACTCTTTGCTTTTATAATGAATCCTTATGGAAACATTAAGTAGGTAAATAAATATTTGACTTCTTTCGTTTTTTAACATATTTATTGAATATTTTACTTCTTTTACTGTATGTGATCAGTTGAGGAAGAGACTCACAGGAAGGAGAATGAATTAGTATGAAACAGAAAATCTGGTACCAAGGGTAATGGGGAAAAGGAAAAAATATATTGATGACATTGATTTTGTGCCAGATACTGTGCTTTGAGCTTTAAATACTTTAACTTGTTTAATTCTTGGTATGATCCTGCAAGGTGGGTGAATTATCTCTCTTACAAATGAGGAAACTCATGCTCATAGAAATTAAATAACCTATTCTGGGTGGCAGAGCCAGGATTTAAACCCAAAGCATCCTGCCTCTATTATAAAGTTATATCATAAATATCAGATTTAAGCATGACTTATTATTAGTAGCCACATAAATTATCATTACTCAGCTGGTAGAGGTTGACCCTAATTACAGGCAAACTACCGTAAAGGCAGTGAAGAAATTGTTGAATTAAAAACCTATATGCGTAAGGTCATTATGAGATAGGGCAGGGTTTCAGTTGAATCTCAAAGTTTTAAAGTTTAGAGTAGATGTGTAGCCTTTGACAAGGCAGTGGGAAGGATGGGGTTGGGGTGGATCTTCTGTCAGTGAGGGAAGCCAGATGGCCAGAGGTTTTGCTGGGTGTCCGCTCTCAGCCTGGAGTCTGGCCCTCGTCTGGCTGTCCTGACATTGACCTTCCTCAAGACACCCAGAGAGGCCGGACAGCTGGCCCTAACCATGTCACTCAAGATCGCTGCCTCCTCCCAACACTGTTATAACTGACACCAGGCCATCTCCCTTTCTACTGATAGGAACACTCTTGTCCCCTCCCCGGTCTCCTTCCCTCCTGGGAGCCAGGTCTCTGGGGAGCCATTGCCTGGTGGGCCTAGAACCCAAGCAAAGAGCGAGGAGGGCTGGGGCAGCGAGCAGTTCATGCAGACCTTGGCGTGAAGCCTGACGAACCGTCTCCACTCGGAGCCGAGAGGCCCTCTGTGGGGACTGGGATGGGCACGGCCTTCAGATAACGCCTACCTCTGGACCGTGCTGGGTGGATGGGCACACGGCCAAAGTGGGCTTCTCTGAACCTTGGCTTTTCTCTGGCTGCCTCACTCCTGGGTTGCTGCGTTCTTCCTTTGGACAGGTGAAGAGCTCTGATGACCAGGCTGGAGAGCTGTGTCCTGAGCCAGGGAGCCTTTTCTTTTTCTGTGTCGTGCTGTGCTTGCAGGGCATCCTTATTTCTCTTACCTATAAGTTCTGGGCCCTCTAGGACTTTGCTTATTGCAGTGAGTTTGGCCAGTTTTTGCAGTACTTAATGTTGAAGTACTAAGAGTTGAAATTGTAAGAGTCTCAATCTAAGGCCCCCTTTAGGTTTAGAAACCTTGGGGTTTTTTGGTCTTTTTAGGTTCTCCCTTCTGAAATTTTTTTGAATGATTCTTGTAATCAAGTCTTTTCCAATTTGAGGAAAATGTAGCAATATAGGTGTTTTTCTTATTTCATTCTTACTTTGTGCCTTTTTTACTTAGGCATTAAGCAGTCACACTGCTTTTACCAAACACAGCGAGGAACTTGGAACTGAGGAGGGCGAGGTTGAAGAGATGGACACTTTAGACCCTCAGACAGGTCTGTTTTATCGATCTGCCCTGACTCAGTCACAGTCAGCTAAACAGCAGAAACTTAGCCAGCCACAGCTGGAACAGACTCAGCTGCAAGTGAAAACTCTGCAGTGCTTCCAGACTAAACAGAAGCAGACCATCCACCTGCAGGCAGACCAGCTCCAGCACAAACTCCCGCAAATGCCCCAGCTTTCCATCAGGCATCAAAAACTCACCCCTCTCCAGCAAGAACAAGCACAGCCCAAGCCAGATGTACAGCACACACAGCATCCCATGGTGGCCAAAGACAGGCAGCTTCCTACCTTAATGGCACAGCCCCCACAAACTGTAGTACAGGTGCTTGCAGTGAAAACCACGCAGCAGCTCCCCAAACTGCAGCAGGCTCCGAACCAACCAAAAATCTACGTGCAGCCCCAAACCCCCCAGAGCCAAATGCCGCTCCCAGCCTCGTCAGAGAAACAGCCGGCAAGCCAGGTAACGGAATATTGATAGCATGCAAAGTTAAACTTCTCTGTTCACGGAAAAAATGAGAACATCACGGCCCTATCGTGATTAGCAGTGCATTCTCCTGGCAAGAGGAAACTCAAAAGCCTCATTACACTGGTATTACTTTACCCCATCAGAAGGTTGACATTAGGGAAGAAATGCACGCGTTAATATAGGAAGAAAAAAAAGCATAGCGCTCAGAACTTGATTTTCCAGGCAGTTTTTAATGAAATAACTTCAGCATTGATCAACAGTGCCTAGAAGCGATATCCCTAAATTATTTTTAATTTTTAGGTATAAAATATTTATTTCCATGCCTGTAAACTCTATTTCTGTGGCAATAATGCTAAGTAAAATATAGTCTTTTAAGGAGCTTCATTGACCATCTTCCTTTGTAGTTTTACATCATCACGATTTGGTTAATAAATTTATCTTCTAGATTTATCTTCTAGATTTTGGAGGAATTATCTGTGAATATTGAAAAAAAATTATATTATGGAAAATCAGTGGCTTTGAAGTGATGTATGTGTGTATTATAAATACATATATATAGAATATGTTTGTATAAATGTATTTTGAAGCAGAAGATTGAAAAAAAACCCTACTTTTTATTTTAAAAAGCTGAAGATTATATGAAATAACTTGAGATCGGTTGAAGGTATACTGTGTGGGGATGTAAATCCCAAAGGAAAACAAGGCTGCTGTGACTTTTTTTTCCTTTACTGTTATGAACCTTGGCTGGCTGAACAAAGGTTCTTTTGACCCCTCCTCTTTTACTAGGTTTCTGACAAGTAATCAGATACTTTCCCATCAGCCCTCTTCTTAAAACACCGAGCTTCAAAATATCTTCCTAGTATACCGCACGAATGTTTCTTTTGCCATATTGTCTGGGGTGTTTGATAGGTTTTCTCAAAGATATGTAGCTGTAACACACACAACCCCAATTTGTTTTCAGGTGGAGCAGCCAGTTATAACCCAAGGATCCTCTGTTACAAAGATAACTTTTGAGGGGCGCCAGCCTCCCACAGTTACAAAGATAACTGGTGGCAGTTCTGTGCCTAAGTTGACATCACCAGTTACAAGCATATCTCCCATTCAGGCCTCTGAGAAGACAGCAGTGTCAGACATTTTGAAAATGTCTTTGATGGAAGCTCAGATTGATACAAATGTAGAGCATATGGTAGTGGATCCCCCAAAGAAGGCTCTTGCCACTAGTATGCTCACTGGTGAAGCAGGATCATTACCCTCCACCCATGTGGTGGTGGCAGGGATGGCGAATTCCACTCCCCAGCAACAGAAATGTAGAGAGTCCTGTTCAAGTCCATCTGCTGTTGGCCCTCCCCTAACGACAAGGAAAATCGATGCACCAGGAGTGCCTACGACAGGCCAGTTCATGCGTATTCAGAATGTAGTCCAAAAGAAAGCTGAAGAGAGCCCAGCAGAAATTATCATCCAGGTAAGAATCGGAAGGAACACCAGAAATCTTGAGCATATTGGGGGTTGTGGGTTTGGTGTGTTTTGGGATGTCATAGGAAAAGTCAAGCCAAAATGGGAAAGAGATTTATCTTTGAGATGGCATATGACAAACTTGGTTTACTACCTGTTACAAATTTATACTTATTTTCTGAAACAAAATCCTAGAAAATTGATAGATATTGTCACAACAGCACACCTTAGAGGCAGTCAAGGGCCCTGGGCCCATGTGTCTGCGTGATTCATAGATGCAAGCCACACTTGCCAGTGTTGACTCAACAAGTCAACCTACAAGATCAGCAACTTCCCAGGTCAAACTTTGGACTCCCCAGTCTTTGCCCAAAGAATATAAGTAGTTTGTACTTCTGGGATGTAACTGGATTGTACTCCTATTTCAAGTTAGTTTCAGGAACCCTTTCCTTGCAGAAACACAGTTCTTGATCCAAATTTATGGTTTTCAGGACAATAAAACCTTAATTAACTGAAATGTCTGGAGAAACATGTTGTAAGAGAATGTTTCTTAGTAATTTAATTTTATGTCTAACCTGGGATTAACCGTAAAGCTTTGCTTTTTATTTCAATCATCGTGTTATTGAAAAATCTTATTATGGTTACTGTCCTGCCCTGGTAAGTACAGGCTAGTGAACATGATGGATTATTCATTGACAGTAGATCTAACTATGCCTCACATTCCCTTCATTTTAAAACTCATCTGTCATCTTGTATAACAGGTCCAGACTGAAAAGTTACACTGGGTCCAGAGTAGCTTTTAGAAGTTGTGTTTTATTTCCCTCTCTCCTTGCAAGGTATCAGGTTGTTCTCTTGACATTTATTGTTTTTGCTTGGAAGGTGTCAGAGCAGCACATTTTAGTTAATTGAGAATTTGGATGTATTGAAATGTGGATAGTCTAGTATTTACCGTAGACTCACTATTGTGTGACTTAGGTGTTCCTATAGTAAATTTTGCCTTTCCTGCGATGCCAAGCCATGAGAGAATGCAAATTGACCAATATTAATCCAAATATGATTTAACTTAATATGGGGGAAATGCTTAAATGCAAATAGATCTGGCCATTAAATTATTCAAATAATTTGTTCCTTCCTGTCAGAACAAATGTTAGTGAACTAAATAATCCTTGACCAAAGGATTTGTTACGTTTTCTTTCCACCTGCAGAGGTAGGGTTTGGTGAAAAAGGAAGTTTCCTGGCTTTGCCATTCACTGTGTGACTTTGGGCAAGACTACTTAACCTCACTGTGCCTTCGTTTCCTCATCAGTAAAATGGGAGTAAGGAATGCCTACTTTACACGATTGACATAAGGATTACACAAAATTGAGATGAAGCACCTAGCACAGTACCTGGCTTGTAGTGATTGCCCAATAAATGGTAGCTATTACTATTTTTACTAAAATTTACTGTGGCTCCTGGGAGTTTAAATTGGTATACTCACTAAACTGAAAATAATTTTGAATAACTTATTTAGAAATTATTTTCTGTACTTTGTGAAAAGGGGTGAAAATGTAATTTGCTTCATGTATCAAGGATGATAGCTAATGAGTGGGTTCTCTACAAGAATATCAACTAACTTTTAGCATGTACCATATGCTGGGTTGCTGTGCCAGAGGGAAGAGCAGCATAGTGATTAAGAACCAAGCTTTTGGAGTCAGAAATGCCTAGATTTGAATCTCACCTGTACTCCTTAACCACATTGTGGCTTGGAGCAACAGAGTTAACCTCTGTTCCTGTGATGAAATGGAAACAATAACACTTAACTCACAGGGTTGTTTTGAGGATTGAGAAAATGTATATAAAGCAGCTGGTTAAGTGTCTGATACAGAGTAATACTCAATAAGGATAGCTCCTGTTATTATAATCATCACTAATATACTGTTAGAACATTTTCAGGTCTCACTAGTTATGTTTAGCTTTGACCCAAAGTATTGATTTTTACTGATTTAGTAAAGAACCTATTGACATGAGTGAAGGAAGTCTGCAGAAGTTCTTTGATTCCTTAAAAACTATTCTGTAAAAATTCAACATGTTTAATATTAAACGCTTTGTAGACAGATAATCTGTATTTCATTTATTCATTCATTCATTCATTCCACATGTATTATTTAACCTCTGTCTTCCAGGCACTGTGCTAGTTGTGAGGATAGAGGAGTAAACAAAAGGAATGTATCTTCTGTTCTGAAGGAGTCTATATATGTGGAATTGATAGAATTTTAGAACTGCAATGATCTTTAGAGCATATCTTCTCTAATTATCTTATTTTACACAAGATTAAACTAAAGCTCAAGGAAGTGAAGTGACTTTTTCAGAGGTCCACAGCAAGTCAAAGCCAGAGCTGAACTAAAATTCTGACCCTACCTGAGACTTTTTCACAATGATTAGCTATATGGAACAGGGGCAGGAGGGTGAGGGAGGAAAAACAAAAAAACTTCAGCACCCTAGAATCAATGCCTAGGCATCTTACACTATTTTCTTGATAGTATTAAACTTAAATTTGCATCTTCCCTCAGTAGATGGTTGTTTTGGTTAGGTATATTTTCAAAGTGCTGATATTCAGCTTTGCTCTGGGGTTCTTATGTTAAAGATACATTATTCATTTGGAAAGTATTTATTGAGCATCTAATGTGTGCTGGGCCCTGTTTAAAGTTATGGGCATCTAACACTGAAAAAGATAGTCGAGTTCTGTGCTCTGGTCCGTACTGTCTTGGATCTTACATTCTAAGGGTGAGAAGAAAACAAAGAGATGATAAATGCAATGAAGAAAATGTAACAGAACATAATAGGAGTGGGGGGTGGGATCGAGCCAGTACTCTGGTTTCCTTTCATAGAAGAAAGGCTTTTCAAAGCCTTTTACTCTAACCATTTGAGCTAAGATGCAGGTGACAAGATGGAACCAGCCATGTAAGGATTTGGAGGAGGAGTATTCCAGGAAGAAGGGAAGAACTAGTGCAAACACCCTATGGTACCAGTGAGTTTGGCATAAGGCTGGAGCCATCCATGGTAAGGCTTTTGATTTCATAGCAAGTACAATAGGAAACAATTGTAGAGATTTAAGTAGGGGTATGATATGAACTGATATACCTTTTAAGAAGGTATATAATAAAGTTGAGAAAAAAGAATCTGACAAGGCAATATGGCCTAATATGTGTTTATCTATTGGTATTTTTATTGTTCAAAAGACAGTTTTGTCCTCCCTAGTCTTATTTTCAATAAAGATTGTTATTATGTGACCCAAACAAATAACTGCCCCTTTGAACTACCAAAGGGCTTAAAATATATTGTGGTATCAGCAGATTAATCATTCATCTTACAGATAATAATAAGCAAAATCTGATTACATTTACATTTAAAATATGCTTAATGACCAAATAAAAATGTCCTTCAAAGTCTGTCTCCTGAATTAGGCCCAGACTTCAGCCTCCTTTGTTAGAAGAGGCACCATTAAGGAGTAGAAAGATCACTTTGAGTTGTAGAGGACTTGGGTTTGAATCATGGCATCCTGGCATTAACACTGACCAACTGTGTGACCTTGATTAAGTCGCTTACTATCTTAGTTTCCTCATTTGTAAAATGGGAATAATATTAAGCATCTAGCACAGTGCCTGGCATCTAGTAGTTGTCCAATTAATGTCAGTTTCCTTTTTTCCTTCCTTATTGTTGAGGAAATCCTTCTGTCACCTTTTTTTTTTTTTTTTAAACCGTAAAGCTCTCCTGTGTCTTCTCTTTCAGGCCATTCCCCAGTATGCTATTCCTTGCCACTCCAGCTCCAATGTGGTAGTAGAGCCCAGCGGGCTCCTTGAGCTAAACAACTTCACCAGTCAGCAGTTGGATGACGATGAGACGGCAATGGAGCAGGACATAGACAGTAGCACAGAAGAGGGAACCGAACCCAGCCCCTCTCAGAGTTCTGCTGAACGGTCCTAGTGTTTTGGACACAGGAGTGCACTTTAAAACCTACTTGGTTACCAAGTGTCCAGGGAAGCCCTTGTATTTTGATGTCTAAAGAGAGCACTTTGCCCATGCTTAGACTGTGGACCCTGAAACAGCAGTGTTTGAACAAGGATTGCTGCAGGAGTAGCATTTTAAAACAAGATAAAATTCACAGGGGAATGTACTTCTTTTTGAAAAAAGAAAAAGATGCACATCTACAGTGACGTGAGACATGATATTCTTTCTCTGTCGGACCATGGCTAATGGAAAAGTTTGTCTTGCAGTGGAAAGCGACTTTTCCTGTGAATGTTCCTCAGCTGGTTTCTACTGAGCAAAACACCATCAAAAAAGGAGAATGTGAATAGTTTGTATTTTGAAACAGTGTGTCAGGAACAGTTTTTTTTTAAATCTTGTATGTTTTTGCAAATCCCTGCAAGTGCTGAATTGGTTAACATTTTACATCTGCTCAGTTCATATTTTATAAAATAACTAGTTCTTTAATACTGGCATTAAAGAAACCTTGTTAGATGGTAGAAATCAGGTCCCTAACCCGTGGGAAATACTTTTTGGGTGGCTTGTACATTCTCACCAATTGTATGCTAATTTATTGTGTTGTTGTTCCTTTGTGCTCTAGGCAGCACACTTGCCTTCTATTTATTTAAATGGAAACATTTCAAAGCAGGCCATATTCCTTCTGACAAATTTCCTGTACGCTGGGATTGCCTACCTTTTCCATCTCCAAACCTCCCCCTTCTCCTTTAAGAAAACTTAATGAGAAAATGTTTCATTGTGAAACAGAGGAAAAGAAACGTTTTCTGATCCAAAGGAAATGTTCAGTTATGTTCAGGAAAACAAATTATTCATATGATGCTATCTTAACATTGAAATTGCACATTCATGTTGGACTGAGACTTTGAAAATAACTTTTACATAATTTTGTTTACCCCCCTTTGAAATGTATAAAAAGTTCATTTACAGTTCTAAATGTAATGGTTTTAAACATTCTACCTTTTTAGGACACGATTTGTTAAAGCAATATGTTTGGTCTTGTGATCACTGTCTGTCACAAGTAGAGTGAGGGGTAAGAGGGTGGGAGGGTAAGAGTCAGTTTTGACAAGTTGTGGCAAAGGAAACTATACTTTTCATTTTTTTTAAATGTAAATAGAAAAATTTTTAACGGTTTTATATAGATTTCACTATAAATAAGCGTTTTAAGACTGACAAATGTTGAACTGTACATACATATATCAGCATAACTGCCCAATTTTTTGGTGCTGAAGTACTGTAAGTAGAATTCATCAATGGTCTCCGAATTTTTACATCTATATCTGGGAAAAAAAACTGTGATCCTGTAGTTAATAAATTCCCACTGAAGTGACACTGAAGATTTAAACACAAGCATTCACAAGATGCACTGATCTCTGGTAGTTGTCATTATTTCTGCTACGTGATAAGGACTTATACCCATAGATGGAGCTGTTGGTTATTATTTTGTTGTACAAATTCACGTTGAAAAGACTTTGTGACTGTTTCTAGTTAAGTAATTTTTTTTAACCTCTTGGGTCATAGACTTCTTTGAAAATCTAATTATACTATGAACTCTCTCACCAAAAAGATACACATGCCAATATACATGTTAGGTTTTGCATACATTTTTAGGGGTCCATGGGCCCCTAAGCCTATCCATGTATTCCAGGTTAAGCCCTCTGTTATGGTCAGTCCATTACTTACAGATGTAAGTTTTTATAAAATATCTTTTAAATATTCATGCATCAGGTAACAAGAGCAAACTTGAATAAAGTCATTATGTTCTACTTCTACATATTCTGGCACCATAGCATACCTGTGTCCCTTTGAGAATTTAGCCTTAATATGTTTCAGCAACTGAAATGGCAAATGAAATTTCCATAGTCTTCATTTTTAAAAATTAGTATATATTTTAACAAACTATCAAGTGTGGGATATAGTCTTTTTTCTTTTAAAGTTGTTAATTTCAAGGAGAGCATGAATTTCAGTTTATTCGACAAATATTAATTAAGCATCTTCTGTGTGCCAGGTGCCATTCTAAGCACCAGGAATATACCGTAGTGAATAAACAGAAAATCCTACCCTAATGGAGTTGATAAACAAGGTTACCTGCTGATGAAATGGATACGAAGGCTAAAGGAAAGAGGTAACAAGAGTGGCTCTTAGATTTCTTGATTAAGTAGGTGGGTGGTGATGCCATCTCCAGGCATACTTTTATTGAAAGTCTTAACATTAGATCAATTAGTATTTCATATGTTTAAGTCCATAAGTTAAATGTAAATTTAAGTCATCCACGTGAAAGATATTCAGAGATTACAATGCAAATGCTACAAAATTAATAAACCCTAACTGTTAAAGACAGTGATAAGAAAAATCCATTTGGTTTAAAGTAAACGTTGATAAATACTTTGTACTGCAGATGCAGTTTATGGTGAACTTAGAGAATTTAAAAAAAAAAGTAGTTTTATTGAGATTAATTCACATGTCATACAATTCACCCATTTAAAGTATACAGTTCAGTGGTTTTTTAGTATATTCACAGAGTTCGGCAGTCATCACAACAGTCAATTTTAGAGCATTTGCGTAACCCCAAAAGAAACCCTGTACCCCTGAAACCACCACCACCCTAGCCCTAGGCATCCACTAAACTAATTGCTGTCTCTATGGATTTGCCTATTCTGGACATTTCATATAAATGGAATCATACAATATGTGGTCTTTTGTGACTAGCTTCTTTCACTTAGTATAGTGTTTTCAAGGTTCATGTTGTAGCATGTATCAGTGCTCCCTTACCTTTTGTGGCTCAGTAATAGTCCATTGTGTGGATATACCACATTTTATCCATTCATCAGTTGATGGGCATTTGGGTTGTTTCCACTTTTGCGCTCTTATGAATAATGCTGTTACGAACATTTGTGTACAAGTTTTACATAAATTTTCAATTCTCTTGGGTAAATATCTAGGAGTGCAATTGCTGGGTCATATGGTAAGTATTTTTAACAATGTGAGGAACTGCCAAACTCTTTTCCACAGTGACTACACATTTTACATCCTTGCCAGCAGTGTAGGAGAGTTCCAGTTTCTCTGCATCTTAACCAACACTTGCTATAATTTGCCTTTTTAATTATAGCCATGCTAGTGTATGAAGTGGTACCTCATTGTGGTTCTGATTTACATTTCCCTGATGGCTAATGATGAGCATTTTTTTCATGTGCTTATTGGCTGTTCATACATCTATGGAGAAATGTCCTTTGCCAATTTCTCAATTGAATTATTTTCTATTTTATTATTTAAATTGAGAGCTTTTGAAGTACAGAAATATTACTACTCTTAAAGAGAAAAGTAAGCTGTTTTCTGGAAATTAATTCATCACCCTTAAAATCTTAATCAGGTTCTTGTTCTTCCTCTAATGTAACAAATTGCTTAACATCCTTAAAACTGTACAGAGCTTTATAGTTGAAAATGCCTTTAAATACATTTCTTTGTGAGGTTCTGTCAATAGCCTGCTGGGCTAGGAGACCTCAGTAGCACCTGGGATAGTGCAAAGGAAATAGTGGTCAGGTGGTCTGTATTTGAGTCCCAGGCTCCTCTGTTTATTGGTCATGTGAACTTGAGGAAGTCACATTCCCCATAATACAAAGTGAATGTTTCTGACCCCATAGGATTATTGTGAAGACTAAATGAAATAGTTTATGTAAAATTTCAGGCATTTTTTAAAAAGCAGATTCATCTCAAAAAAATGCCAGGCACAGAGTTACGAGCTGTATTTTTTTAAGTCTAGTATTTATACCACTCCTCTATAAATAGAAAACTGAGGGCTTGGAGAAAAATGATGTACCAAAACTCACAAATTATGAGCTAATAGGTATCGTGCCAAGTCACACAAGTTGCTGCTTTCTCTAGAGGAGTGTGTGCCACCAGACACAGGACTGGCCTTTGGAAGGACAGAGGAACTTGGTGTTGGTCTATAACACGATCTTTTTGCCAGCCTTACTTGCCTTCACACAGAAGGACAGAGGAAGGACAGAAGCCTTTGGAAGGACAGAGGAACTTGGCGTTTGTCTATAACACTATCTTTTCACCAGCCTTACGTGCCTCAAACAGAGGTGCTCAATTCAGTTTGAGTTTAATTATGTGTCACAAGCTCCTGATAAGAGAAAGTGGAGTAAAAAAGCACCATATAAGCAAGGCCTTTCCAAGAAAGGATAGTGAAAAAAGTCTTCTGCCTCTGCTTGCAGGTTTGTAAGCCTTTAAGTAAGTGAGGTTTGACGACCTATATATATATTGAAAAAAGAAACACTGTAGATTTTGTACTTGTGAGAAGGCTCACTCTGCCTTTTTCTCTCTTCCTTGCTTATGTATACACTGTAACTGAAAACATGTGCTTGCTTTGAAAACAAAACAAAAAACCCAACAAGCCTTGGTTTGAATCCTGACAAGCCATGTGAGTTTGGACAAGCTCTAAGAGGCTTAAAACAGCAGAAGATGGAATGAATTATAATTCCTACTTTTAAAAAAGACATGAGTAATATTCCTCCCAAGTGGTTCTTTCTGACTTTTCTTTCTCTTCCTTCAAATAAATAGTTACTGGGTACTTTCTTTGGGCTGACATCGGGGATACAATTGTCAGCCAGGGGGAGAAGCCCCTGTCCTCATGGAGCTTCAGCCTAGCAAAGGAGATATGTTCATCAAAGATCACACCTAAATGTATTCAGTGCTAAATGCCATGACAGGGAAATAGTGCCATGATAGCATATAAATGGGAAGTTGGGGAGTTTCCCTCAGGAAGGATTGTTTAAAGTGTAATCTTAAGGAAGAGGATTGAACTAGGCATAGAGGAGGGGGACAGCTGTCCAGTAGATGGACAGCAGATAAAAACCCTTGTGGTGGAAGGGGAACTTAGGCCAGTGTGACAGCAGCATGGAGAGCAAGGGCAGTGAGCGTGGTGGGAGCGGAAGGTGGAGACCAAACTATATGGATCTTGCAGCTTATTATAAAGGTTTGGGTCTTTTTTCTAAGAACAATGAGAAGTCATTAAGTTTTAAGCCATTAGAGCTGGTAAAATGAATTAATACATTTACAAAATATTTGGAGTTATGTTGGTCCATTGGAGCAGAAAAATATATTTAACATTTATTTTCTGATGCTAGTCTCATCTCCTTATGTCCTTTTTCTCTAACATCTTCAGTGGTTCCCCAGTACTGTAGTATGAAGCTGGCATTCAAGGGTCTTAGCCAAAGCTTCAACCTACATTTCTAGATTCTTAACTCATTTCACTACCCTGGCCTACTGCCTATCTCCCCCACCGCACACACATTATGCTCTGCATTAGAAAGTCTCACTCATTTTTCAAAGCCCAGCTTGAATTTCACCTCCTTCACTAGGACTGTCCAGATCTCTTCAAGGAGGATTCATTCCTCCCCCACCCCCTCCCCCACTGCTAGGTTCCTCTAGCATTTTGGGAGAAACGTGTTTACTAAGCACTTATTATTAGTTACCTACTGTAAACTATATTGCATAAGGATCTTTATAGGTTTTTTTTTTTTTTTTTTTGTCAGTACTTAACGCGTTGCCAGTTTTCTCTTCCAATAACTGACTTTTGGCTTCATTGATTCTATTGTTTTTCTATTCTCTGTTTAATTTATCTCCATTCTATTCTTTATTATTTCCTTTCTTTTGCTAGCTTTGGTCTTAGCTTTTCTTCTTTTTCTAGTCCCTCAAGATGTAAAGTTAGGTTATTGATTTGAGAGCTTTCTTTTTAATGTAGGTATTTACAGCTATAAATTTCCCTGTGCATTGCTTTTGCTATATTCCCTACACTTTGGTATGTTGGGTTTTTTTTTTTTCATTAATTCAGATATTTTCTAGTTTTTCTTGTGATTTCTTCAACTGTTGGTTATATGAGTGTGTTGTTTAATTTCTACATATTTGTGAATTTTTCAGTTTTACTTCTTTTATTGATTTCTAGCTTCATTCCCATAGATGTTCTATCCATGATTGAAAGTGGTGTACTGAAGTCTCCACAAGTCTCTATTGTGGAACTATTTCTCCCTTCAGTTTTATTAATACTTGCCTCATGTATTCTGGAACTCTGTTTGGTGTATATATCCTTATAATTGTTTTGTGTTTTTGATGAATCAACCCTTTTATCAGTGTACATTGTGCTTCTTTGTCTCTTAACAGTTTTTACTTAAAGTCTATTTTGTCTGATATTTAGTTTAGTCACCTCAGCTCTCTTTTGGTCACCATTTGCATGGAGTATATTTTTCTATCCTTTCACTTACAATCTATTTGTGTCTTTGGATCTAAAATGAGTCTCTTGTGTATAGCAGATTTGATCTTTTTTTAATTCAATCTGCCAATATTTTTGAATGGAGAGTTTAATCCATTTACATTTAATGTAATTATTAATAAGGAAGGACTTACTTTTGCCATATGGTGTTTGTTTTCCATATGTCTTATACCTTTTTTATCCTCCATTTCCTCCATTACAGCCTTCTTTTGTGTTTAGTTCATTATTTGTAGTGAAATGTTTTGATTCCCTTCTCAATTCCTTTGAGTATATTTTTTAGATATTTAGATATTTCCTTTGTGGTTACCATGTGGTTACCATGGGGATTACATTGAATATCCTAAAATTATAGCAATCTAGTTTGAATTGATACTGACTTAACTTTGATAGCATACAAAACTCTGCCCCTATAAAACTTCATCCCTTCTTTATGTTGTAATCACAAATTACATCTTTATACATTGTGTGCTCAATAACATTTATAATTTTTTAATGCATTTG